AAATCGCTAGTGCACTCCTCCTCACGGCTTTTTCACTGACTTTATGATAAAGTCTCGAAAAAGGGGGATTTCGCGACTGCTCCGCATGCACCAAAGACAAATGCAATGATTCTTTATGCAAGATAAAAAAGCTAAGAATCATTACGCTCAAACACAGCTTGCAAAGAGAAAAATGCAAGGGTCCGAAATTTACTTCTTGATTAATGTTTGTTCGCAGTTGGTTTTCCGCTGCACTATGCGAGCTTGTAACTCTTTATAATTTTTCCGAAGGGTGCAGCTGACCATACAAACGGTGAACCGAACTATTAAACTGAACTCTGGCTAATACTTGTACAGTTTCTGCGCCCAAATTTGCAGCTTCCAGAAGAGGTGAGCTGCAATAAGTTCAACCAAATAGAAAAATTTCCAAGCCCGACATATTCGAAAATTCTGCACACCAAGAATGGAGTAATAACAACAACTAGTGGTTGTCTATTCATTACAGTATTTCTTACTTCGTTCGTACCAGTATGCGAGCTAAAGATAGAAGATAGCCGACAACTTTTTAAATGCTTCCGACAGTATTGCTCACTTGTCCGCTTCTGTCAATTACTTCCGGCAGTCAGATCAATACTTTTTGTGCTGACACTTCGTATTGCGGTGGTATAAAAGATGGGTTCACCTTGGTTCTGAGATTTGCGGATTTATTTGGAACAATGCTGTAACTGGCCGTACTCGAACATTTGGTGGTCTTGAGTCGCGAATGTTTTGCGCCGTTTAGGCCTGTGAATAAAATACCAACAGATCAAACCTGTACGGTAGAACGAATATGAAAAGATTCAAAAAATGTAGGAAATAATAAACACGCATACACGAAGAGAAAAAATCAAAGAAAGAAAATATTTCGAGTGTGTTTAAACCTTCGAAAACTTGCTGGCTATTCGTATGTGACCATCAATCATGCTGATGTGTAGGCCTTGCCCTGCGAATTCAGAAATGTGGGGATTTATACGAACTACTAATTTTTACATAAGAGAAAGAATGCAACAGAAATTATCAGCCGACCTAATAAACAAATGGCGACATTGCTGATTGCTGATATACGTCGTGGTGCAGCAGATCGCTTACCCATACAAACATCATTTTTTAAGAATCAGTCTGACATAATTGCAGCAGAATCTATTCAGGAAGATGTGGTTTTGAAAGTTGGCTGAAATGTTTCTGAAGCTCTGATTAAAGCAAACGTTGGCTATCGTGTGATTGTGATATGTTTCGTTGCCACGCAGAACTTATCCTGTTCCTCGAACTTGGATTATCGATATCTATATCGATAATCCAAGTTCCATACTTTTATCTATAGATACTGAAAAAAAATGAAAATCAACTTGTACTAACGGTCGAGTGAAGGAGACGCCAGAAAGCTTGCATGTGGAGTGATTAGGTGGCCCAGAGGCATCAGAGGACTTGTCGTTTTTTATCCGCGACACTCGTACGATCCAATAATTCAGAAAATTAGTAAACTGCCAAACTTTGTCCATTGGTCGGTATTTATAATTCGTGATACCTGTCAACTCAGGTTTGCCACGTCATTGTTAACTGAGGATAAGGACGGAATAAACTTGTAATGATTTGTCCGCTTATCTTCGTGAGATACTCTTTTTACCTGTAACATCTAATTTTGCAACCCTAATATCTACGAAAATGACAGGAGACAAACAGCAACAATTACAACAAATGAACAAACCATCTACAATGCATCTTCTTCGCCGCCAATGACGACACGATTATATCACTGACTCCCGTACGATGTTCAACCGAGCTAACTTCGCGGATTCTGCAGCTGCCAACAAGCTTCAAAACTGACTAATTCTTGCCTATCCAGAATCAGCAACCACAGGTGAACACTTTTTGTTGTGAATCACAAGCGCTTGCTCTTGAGTGGTCCCAATACCATCCCGAGACCGATTAATGTTGAATAGGTGATAGTGCAGATAAATCGCTTTAGCTTGCACTTTTGCAGGTGTAGGCTCACATATCGTCGATTCGTTGACCGCACGGACTGCTTAAACCTTGCGGTCCACGCACGGCGCGGCTGAATTGTCGTTAGAGCATGACTTGTAACAATGGCGTACTGGAGCAAGCGTTCTCCTCGCGGCGCGTGCTCCGCAGCGATGTCCAGTCCGTGCGGTCAGCGTATTAACTATAAATCTACTTATTGATAGTAAGTATACCATTAATCAATCACAAAATGTGTTTGAATGTAACGCATTTCAAGATGTGAACATTGCCCACATCTTTGACATCATTATATATTTAGTCATTCCGAAAGTTCTTTCCATTTTTTCAAGCTGTCATGAAAACAAGTGCAGCAAAGATAAAGGAACGCTCCAAGCATTATGCGACGCATCTTTTCTTCCTCTTTCCAGCAGTCGTATTCCCATGTCGCTTACTGTTGTGGTCGCTGAGATAATCGCCGAAATTTCGAACCCAGGCAATTTTTCACAATCTTCATTTTTAACTTTCGGAGAAGCTTTGATTGCACTCAGATAGAGTAAACAAAGTGCAATGCAATGCAATTTTTGGCATATCCAGCTGGCTTCTTAATATTTTTTGAGATAATTTTTCCAAAAATCTTCACTTTTGCAAAGTCCCAAAATACGGAAACGTCACGAACACTAACAAATTCTCGGATTTTGAAGCTTTCAAAAGTCAGCCGCGATTATCCAAAATTTTCACAAAGCGACTGAGCGTTTACCGCTTGGAAACACAAGGTTTCGCATTTGTGTACAGGCTGGGGCGGATTCAAAATCAAGAATTACGAAAAATTTATCGCCAAAGACCCCCACAAATTGGAAAGATAATACATCCATTAAAAGAGAAGGAAAAGCTGCATCGAATGACACTTTAGTTGTGCGCCGTTTTATTCTATTGCACTTGGCATCAACAGAAGTGCAATTTGACAACATCAGAAAAATTATTCTAAATATTAGGTTGTTACATAAGTCTTGTTACACTTAGCTTCTAACGGCGATAAGTCATACACCTCATAGTCTTTGCAGGACTCCAAGGTACCATTCGATAGAGCAGAGCAAGCTTTACAAGAGGGTCTGCAAAAGTTCGCACCAGCTCCGACCCACCGTAAGTTTGCACCCAAAATCTGAGTCGTACTGAAATTCAAAAAATCGCGAAAAATCCATGTCTTTGTTCAAAGAAATCCTACGGATCTCCAACTCGCTCACAAAAATTGCCCACTATATCAAACACTCATATGTACCGTTGCTGTATTTTTTCCTTATCTAGAAATCGAGAAAAAGAATTTTTTTTAGCTTTTACAAAAATGAAGCTATGCTGTTTCTATTCACGTAGCTGTATACTACAAGCTCTTAGAAGTATAACCGTAAATTTTCAGCTTTTCAGAAGCTCTGGTTTTTGAAAAATACCAAATTTAGCTTTTATCACTCGGGTGTTCAATGCTAAATTAGGTAATTTTCGAAAACTAGGGCTTCTGGGAAGCTGAAAATTTACGGTCATACTTCTAAAAGCTTGTAGTATACAGCTACGTGAATAGAAACAACATAGCTTCATTTTTGTAAAAACTAAAAAAAATTCTTTTTCTCGATTTCTAGATAAGGAAAAAATACAGCAACGGTACATATAAGTGTTTGATATAGTGGGCAATTTTTGTGAGCAAGTTGGAGATCCGTAGGATTTGTTTGAACAAAGATATGAATTTTTCGCGATTTTTTGAGCCTTCAGTACAAATCAGATTTTGGGTGCAAACTTACGGTGGGTCGGAGCTGGTGCGAACTTTTGCAGATCATCTTGTAGAGCTTGCTTTGCTCTATCGAATGGTACCTTGGAGTCCTGCAAAGACTATGAGGTGTATGACTTATCGCCGTTAGAAGTTAAGTGTAACAAGACTTATGTAACAACCTAATACTTTTTGAGGCTAGCTGTAGATGTCAAAAAAATTGCGTTACATTGAACATTGTTTAGTCTATCTGACTACTATCAAAGCTTTTTAAAAAATCAGAAATGAAGATTACAAAATCGCCAGACTTACACGTAGTGAAAACCATGGGTTCCAAATTCCTGCGATTATCTCAGTGATCACAAGAGCAAACGGCATAGTAACATGAAATTTAGAAAGAGGAGGAAAAGCTGCGTCTTAGAGCTTTTTCCTGCCTACGCTCCACGTGTTTTTATGATAGGTTGAAAAAACGGAAAGAACCTTCGGAACGACCTAATAAATCAGTGTTAGATGATGCCACTAGTTTTACCCTGCTGCGATTTCAGTGCGGCGTCGTCAATATGGTGAGAGCGATGAGCTGCTAGCTGCTACCTGTATCCAATACCCCCCCCCCCCTTCAACCGCCCGTCTCCGGGTAGCGAAACGAAGGCCGCCAGTATGAGCCGCCTTTGCGGTCAACTTGTCTTTTTGCAGTGCTGTTGCATGTCGTTCCAGGATCACTGATCCGCGGGAGCGGCCCAAACTGGCGGCTTTCGTTCCCCTACCCCGTCTCCCCTTCCCCACTGGCAACACGATATAACACATATGAGCAGCACTCATCCTTCTATATGCAACAAGTATTCTCCTAAGAAATTAGTACTGCAGAAGTGTACCCTAAAGACTGCAAGATCTATGAATCATTCTAATAAAATTTATCTCTAGATACATAGCCTATCACTCAATTGTTCGTAAGTTTCAAGATTTATTATTCCCAATATCTAGTACTAGGACAACAGCACTATTGATTTGAGCATGTCAAAATATAAGTGAGAAAACTTTAAAGGCTTGCTTCTGACATTTAGCGCTCTGAGCACCAATGTGGCAATGCATACAAAGACACAAATTGCACGGTTAACAATGTATCTACAGAGAATAAGTGATAGAATAATAAGTAGTAATTTAATAACCTGACAATGTAAAAGAACAAGATAAATAAAAGCTCGTATTTGTGTCTTTACAATGCGGTTTAGAAATATCTATTAACATTAACACAACGAATCAATATATCAATATATCTCATGTTCTGGACAAATTGAATCAAAAACTGTACAGGACTTCTTTGAGCTTACACAATTCATGCGAGTTCGTCAATAAGCGTCAAAATTGCGTATTCTAGGAGCAAAGTGAGTGGCGACGTTTGAGGGCGCACAGATCGCTGCTCCTCGACTAGGGGCATTCCAAACACCGTCGAATTGCTTCGAAGAGCTACGCATTCGCTGGCTGAAATTAACTTCATGCTGGATTTTAGCTACAGTTATAACGAGTCGTTCAAAAGATTGAATGTGCACCGATCATTACGTACAGCATCCCTCGACTTTTGTCTGTGCAAATTTCAATCTCTATAAAATTCTTTTTTCATTCATAACATAGGTTTGTGCGAATCTATGGCGAGCCGATAAAGAGCAACGGGGAAGGGGAAGGAAGGAGGAAAAAGGAGAAAGTTGTGATAAAACTGAAATCTATGAAAGTTGTGTGTATGAGTAGTGTAATATTCAACTAAATTGTTTTTTCTGTGAATAAAAAGTCAATTTTTGAAAGTTCTTAAAAGTTCAATTTACCGCTGAATAAAATTTCGGGAGCGTAGCTGATGCCATAAAACCTTTTTGAAATCTCGGGAATAGATGCGGGTTTAGAAGCCTCTCAAAAAATTCTTTCGGAGAGTACGGCCAACAATACTCTTCTCATCTAAGGGCCGCATGCACTAACATCCCCGCGGGGAGGGGATCGCAGCTTAAAAGAAAGCTTCATATTTCGAAACTTCAGATACCTGGATTTGACGTTGTGTACCTATCCGCAAGTATTCCTACTACCCTTCACTATGAACATGTTGAAGAGGAGCGAGAAGCTGTACGAACAGCATTTTCCAGCTTTTGTATGATCCCTGATGATCCCCGGCGCTTTTCTTTAAAGTCATTTTTCTTTCTCCAAAGTTAGCGAAAAACCTCCAAAGTTGTGCAGATTATCTAACCCGACAGTGCTAAGCATGTTGCTGATAAGAACAAATGATGTTTTGAAGTGATGAAATTTTCGATGATCCACAGGTCGAAATTTGAGGTTTACCGAAAAATTCGACTTTTCAAAAACCCATTTGTTCTCATCAGCAACATGCTTAGCACTGTTGTGTTAGATGTTCGGTACAGCTTTGGAAAGTTTTCGTTAACTTCAGAGGAAGAAAAATGACTTTAAAGAAAAGCGCCGGGGATCATCAGGGATCATACAAAAGCTGGAAAATGCGGTTCGTACAGCTTCTCGCTCCTCTTCAACATGTTCACAGTGAAGGGTAGTAGGAATACCTACGGATAGGTACACAACGTGAAATCCAGGTATCTGGAGTTTCGAAATATAAAGCTTTCTTTTAAGCTGCGATCCCCTCTTCAGCGGGGAGATTAGTGCATGCGGCCCTAAGATGTGCCTGTCACCCCCCCCCCTCCATCTCGCTTTTTCTACGATTTCGAAGAAAATTTCGGACAATCACGCGTGCAAACACCATCTATAATATATACCCTATTCTCCGGCTAGTAAGCCGCACCCACCGCAGCGAACAATGGAGCGAAAACGCCCTCGAAGAGAACCTTCTAAATCACAAACTGAAGACTCGGTGCAACTTTTGACTGCTCTTCACTGCGCATGTTCATGTCGTCAACTATTTCTTTACTCCTTTTGCAGATTCGGATTTGCGGGTGTTCAGGTTGTATTTTCTTTCCGCAAGGATAGATAGGAGTTGACGGCACTTTTTTTTGTTTTCTTTGATGCTCACTGATGTTGGAGCTGCGCTATCGTTCGATTTCAATACTGTTGATATTTCAACGGTGCTTTCAATGCATTTGCAACAAAGAACGAAAGCAGAAAGTTATTATCAGGCTACTAGGTAAAAAAGATAAACTGGCTGCTTGTACGGCTTCGCGCACCGTGACCGCCTTCGCACATTAGCCCGCCCGCGATGAAAGTAATTGCGGCTCAAGGACCGGGCATGCTTCACGCGATTTCAGTCGCGATGCGATTTGGCACTTGTCAGAACTCTTCAGATCCAACGCTAGCAAGCTGCACATGCATATGTGTATAACTTACGTGCTATACACTTAAAATGTGCTTACAATGAATTATGGACATTTGGAATATTGCCAAATCGCGTCAATGAAAATCGCGTGAAGTATGCCCGGCCCTTTATACACCTCATACAGAATACAAATTTTTCTAAGTAGACCTCTGAGGCTCTGAGGCTGAAACCCTCTCCCCTACAAAAAGACCATGGCGCAGGTCATACGCTACTTTTCGCAGCAAGTCGCTGGGTCCATCTATCGATTTGTTGATTTGTTTACTTTTATCTAAGTTAAGAAGAATGAAGCTTATCAACCACCAGTGCTCACCTCTGCACCGCACAGGTGACGCACTGGTGGTTGATAAGGTGACAAGCTCGCACTGGCTCTGCTATCAATGTGCCTTACTCGTTCTCGTAAAATCGTGGCACTGGAACTCACTGCGCTATGGCGACTACCACGAATAAAATGTAAACAACTATTCATTCAGAAAGTTTTTCATGTGAGATCGGTGACTTCGCGAGGATGAAACTTTTCGCAGGAAGACAGACGCAAATTTGGATAGGTTTTTGAATTTGTCATGGCTTGGTATCCGCCATAGAGGCAACCATGAGCTAAATCTCTGTACGAAAATCTTCTCAAATGCTTGACTAGAACCTTGGCAACTTGACCATTTACGCAACCAATTCGTTTAGGCGCCGTTTTCGTTATGTAGTAAACTTTCGACCACTTTTCTGGCTAAAGTCCATCGCTTGCATTCGCTTACCATCCACATCCACGGCATTGCAAAAAGTGGTGATGCGGATCCAATTTTGCGGGACAGAAGCTAGGTGGATCCGTTTGGGCGCATTTTCTGAGGGATCCACTCAACGAATCTACTCGTGCTTCTGCATGTTGGACTTACATGAAGCTAGCATGCGCTATGCAAAATTTGGGCTTAGGACGCTGGCTGGAACACGCTCTACGAATTTCGTAACAGACGGACGCACACACAACACACACACAAAAACACGTAAACAACCCTTAGCCAATTATTATAAGGTTTTGATTGTTCGAATCATTTCCTCAAGTTAAGAGGAAGGGCGGTAACGGTCATTTATATTTTGCGGTGAGGAGGATGCTGTATCACGATGCAAGGCGGTCAGGAAGACGATTATAACGGACCAGTGCTTCACCTCTGCTTCGCAGAGGTTCGCACTGGCATCGTGAACCGTGGTAAACTCACTTTCTGAGAGCTTGTCTCTCAGATCATTGTTCGGTTGACTGCAACATGAGAGCCGTTGTTTAAAATGAACCATACTCGCTATCTTATCCTCACATGATGTTTAGTGTTGTAAATCATTCCTCACTGTAATTTCGTAACAGACAGACTTACAGACCGACAAATAAGCGGCTTATTATAAGTCATGATAACACAGGAGCGCTGCTCAGGCTCGGAGCAGAAACAGAAAGAAAGAAGAGAGGATGCAGTAAGGGAACAAACAGAGCAAAATGAAGGAAAGAGAGGGACGGTAAGGCATAAGACGCTTTGGATCAAACATCATAACAGGCCAATCCAGGCATCGCTTTGAGCTCAAATTTTGCTAGGGCATGCTTTCAGAATGAAAGTTTAGAATGCATAAGCACGAGCGGATTCGATGATAGGATCCATCAGAAACTGCGCGTCAACTGCTGCCTTGGTTTCCGACCAGCAAAGTTGGGTCACCATCATTCGTTTTGCTAACTCGTAGATGTGTTTGGCAAGTAAATATGTGCAAGCCTTTGATTTTAGCCCAAACGATCAAAGTTCACTACTTCACGGAAACGGAGCCAAAAGAAATTGTTGCGTAAATGGTCAATTTCCCAAGATTTTACTTGAGCATTTGAGAATATTTTTGCACAGAGATGTAGCTCACGGTTATTAATGTCCTTATCGCGACTACAAGACACAAAAAAGTATAACTAGCACAATAGCGCGAGCTTCGAAGCAGAGGTGAGTGGGTACACATAGCATTTTTCGAAGTTCAATTCACCATAGTAATCTTATGAGAGTCTTACGAATGTGCCGTGCTCCCGTTTTGTGCGAATAAGTTGGTCCAATTGGCTATAATAGCAGGAAATCGCGAACTTATATGCTCATACATTTCTGCTCTTCACCACCTAATTCTCGAAAATAGTAGCTGCAGCTCGAGTTCATCTTAGTAGCGAGAAACAAAGAAGAAATGATTTACCTGTGCTTATTTCTACAGCAAACAGCGATCACCACTATGACTAGAATTACCCAGATAGCGCAGAGCACTGCTGGACCGATGAGGAACAACACTATAAAACACAAAATTTTTTTTAAAAATTTGGAAAAAAAAGGAGAATTACGCACGAGTAGTGGCATCTGCGGACTCTTCTTGCTTTTCTTTGTTTGTCTCGTCCTTCGTCGCTAAATGCGGTTTGGCTGAGGTAGCTGAAAGGATTGAATACTTGCAAATTTAGAGCAGATAATCACTTTTATTTCTTATTTTTAACGCGATTGATGGTTTGTCAGTTTTGATGTGCACTAGATAAGTGCGATGTAAATTTTGCACCTCCCCTTTCCGAGATGGGGCTTGAAATTCTTTTATTTCCTGGCCGGCAAGATAACATTGCGCAGGAAGTTTTTGCTTGTAGATGATAAGAATTAATTTTCGAAGGGAAGTTTTGAGAATTTCGGTCATACCCTTCTATGCAATAAAATTTCTCGCACCCCTACCTTCCCCCTCTGTAAAAACTTCTGACCGGCACTGGTACTATTGGGAACCTCCTTGAGATTATATTCAAGCGGCAGCTTAGAGGTCGCAGTGGTGGGAAAAAATTCAAGTCTAATTTCAGCTTCACTTCAGACCGTAGCATTAGGCGAGCGGACCAATCAGCGCCCTGGAGTACGGTGGAAAGTACCTCAGAGTTTGAAGTCGAAGTTCTCGGATGAATAAATCATGCGTACTACCGCTTGAGTAATATTTTCTTCAAGTCCTCACAATTAGATTCAGCACAAAAAAGCTTGGAGCTTATAATTAGGTTGTAAAGAAAATAATGTCGTTTTTCTCGGTTTTTTTGGGTAAAATTGATATTACTCGAGATCTAGAGCATATCCGAGGCCAAGATTTTATGGTTGAAGTTACGAAGCTTTGTAGTATGCAAAGGCATATGTGAGAGAAACCTAGTACTACTGGAGGCAGAGTCTGCCATTTTCCATTTTTCAATTTCTTGGTTTCTAAGCATGGAAAAAATTTAGCAAGTGTATCTGTGGGTGAAATTTAGCAAGTGCATGTGCCTTTTACATGCAGGAGCAAGTGAGAGGTTCGCAGGATTTTCTAGGGCGAAAATCTAATTTTTGGCATGACGAGTTGCTCGTATGTTTTGGCTCTGAACTTTGCGTAAACAACAAGTTCCGACAACGTTCGGATGTCATCTTGTACAATTTCCTTTGCTCTATCGAATGGTACCGCTCACATATTTTTTTTGGATTTGATTTGTCTAATGGCTTTGCTATGAAAAACGACATTATTTTCTTGACAGCTAATATTAGATTTGCCTGTACGATGCCCTCACGTTAAAATTACGGTTCTTCGGCTTACTTCGGCACTTGAATGTAAGATAAGATTATTGTTGATGTGGATACTCACAACTAAAGCGTCCAGACTTCGGTCGAGGGGTTGTAGGCACCGAACCCGTACCTGGTGAACCGCCTGGTCCTTGCCATGAAGTCATTACAAAAGGATGTTCATCTACTTCCGCATTTATGCTTTCACCTAGACGGTCGTTATTTTCAAACTCCAAAATTAGAGAGAAGTGGCATACCCAGGTTCGCGTCATTCTTCATCAATTTCGTAATTTCTTCAACAGATGAATGAATATGCGACAAAGGTGTGCAAGTAAAGCCATCGCCACGGTATCCACGGGTACAGACGCATCGTGGACCACTGGCACTTTCTTCGCAGGATGCGTTGGAAGAGCAAGATCGTCCAAACCGAGAGTAGCATCGCTCAACTTCTAAATTTGACTGAGAAGTATCTCACAGAGAAATTGAGTTGAGAACTTACGCAAACACTCCTTGCCGTCTCCAGAAAACCCTTTTCGGCACCGACACTCGTAGCCACCCACGATATTGTGACATTCGGCATTTTGACCACATAGAACCATACCAGAGGAACATTCGTCGATATCTGAAAAATTTCATACTGTAGCTGTTGAAATGATTACTAATATTACCAACTTTTAATACTAAAATGATTACTGTGCATTCTCAGCTTTGAAAAGAGGCATAACCCAAAATGCGAAAACGAAGTCGACAAACTATACTACGGTAATTCTGAAGTGAGCTCCAAGCTATGGTTGGTGGATTCTGAAATTTTCTAGAAGCTCGCTACATTTTTTCGAAGTTGCGCTGTACAATACGGCAGAGTCTGACTTCTGGCTACCAGCATGGCTGATACCGCAAATGCACAACTTATCAAAAATCTGCGACGATTGTATAACCTCGTGCAAAATCATTTCTATGATTTTTTCTTAGCATTCCACTGGTGCTTTTTCTTTTTACAGAATTCACAGTGCATTTTGACGTCCCCGCCTCCCCCCTATGACGGCACTGTCGGGCCTTTAGCGTCTAAAACGATAGGTAGAAAAATGTCCGAATAGTTTCAAAGAACTTCCTCAATTGCGGGCATCATAAAGAAATTAATAAAAAGAACTGGAGGTTAGTTTTTGAATTTTTGAAAAAAAAATTTCCACAATATTAAAGCGCCAAGATAGCGCGCATCCCTTGCAACCTTCTCAAGGGTTTTGACCACGAGTTTTTTTTTGAGCTCAGGAGAATTCTAACAATAAGAATAAAAGTTAAAATTTTGAAAGAATAGTAAATTAATCTGATAAGTAACGTTTACGACATTTGTAAATGTGGATATGGAGAAGAATAAAATATGATTTACCTCGATCACAATTTGGCCCAGTCCAACCAGCTGCACAACCATTTGCGCAAACTCCAGAAGAAGTATCACATGGGAAGCCAGCTGCACAGTGACATGAATTTTGGCATGAGAAACCGTAGCGACCAGGAGGGCAGTCTGAGAAACTCCAGATTTACCATGATTATGGATTTCAATGGTAAACCAAATTTACACCTTTATCGCAAAGTGGAGGGTCTTGTGTGCCAGCCGGACACGATCCGATGCCGTCGTCGATTCGGAACATCCATTTTCCTGGTTGTCCGACATTGGAATGTGTTGCAAGCATGTCGTTTGGTAGAGGAAGGAATGCTGCTGGTGAGGCGATTCCTGGAGAGAAAAATGTCTCTATAATCACTTTATTTCGTCATACACTTTTGGCTCTGTCAATAACAGTAGTATACTGATGAGTCAAAAGTGACACATTTAGTTTTTTAAGTCAAATATTCTTGGGGAGCAGCAACACGTAGAAGGCTCTGAAGATGGCTATCCACTAAGCAGTGGCAGACTGAGTAGGGCGAGAGGCGAAGTGAAAGGGGAAGGGAGTGAAGGCGAGGAGAGAAGGGAACCCGAAATAAGTCGTACATCCTCTAGAAAATGGTCTGACGTCTATATCTGCCATAAAATTATGCAAATGATTTTTTTACTTGCAAATAATTGAATTAGAAAATTTGTCACAAAACCTTTTCAAGGGGTCGACTTCATGACTTTCCATTTAAAGAAAAAATACGACAAACGTAAGTATTATGATTTGTACAAGGAGATGTTTCATCTTATAAGGGAAGCTACCTAACTTAGCTCGGCCTTTTAGCAAAAGACATAAATATTCTGAATCAGCTTCAAATGCTGATTCCAAATATGCTATTCATGGCTACTGCGCACCATTCCGAAGCGAGGCTTTTTAACTGCTCGGAATTGGCATACTACTGAACATTAACGGACTGCCTGTAAGTGAGAATCTCCAAGAAAAAGGTTTCGAGATATTGAAATAACATCAGATTGAATCTTTTGTCACTGATGGGAAACTCAACGGAAATAAGCACTTAGATGATGATGACGTGATGCCAGTAATTCAATGAGCATGACAATTCCACGCAGTAAAAAGCCCTTAACTCGCTTGGGAATGGTGCGCAGCAGCTAAAGATAGCATATTTGGAATCAGCGTTTCAAGCTGAATCAGAATATATGTCTTTTGTCAGAGGCCGAGATAAGTTAGGTCGCTTCACTTGTGAGTAGGGAAGACACTACGTTCTGTGACAATTCCACGCAAAAATGCAAACGCTCCTCTCGGAACGCTGAGCTCAAATTTATGTCCGCTATCTGCAAGGCATCTGGGTTATGATACGTTAAGAAGTATGTGTCGAAAGGGAATTTTTGTGAAAGAACGAAGAAGCGTCAAAATTTGCATACATATGTTTGCAACCCCTGCGCACACGATAGGTTACTTTTCGCGGTGATTTGTTCACTTCTATCGATTTATTAATTTGTTTACTTACATCAAGGAAAATTAAGTTCTATTAACCATTATCGGGTTTATTTAAACATTTAAAAGAGGCGGTAGATTTCATTAACATTTCGCGGTGAGGAGGATGCGGCGTTTCGAAGCGCGATTGGAAAAAAGACAATTCTACCATGCAAGCGCTGCTGCCCGGATTCGGACAATGAGCAGGATCAAGAAAAGCGTGGTGTGAAGAAAAAAGAAAGAGAAAAAGGTTGAGGTAAGTCTTTCCTTGGCTCAGTCTAAATCCACGGTCCAAGCGGACCGGAAAAGCCAGCTAGTCTATCATAAACATATAGTAGTCCGTTTAATCAATTTACCTGTCATTGGTCCTTTGGACTGCGTCTTCTCATAGATCAAAGTCAGCATTGTAGCTTCATCTGACTGTGCCAACACAATTTGAAAAGAGTTCAACTAAAACTGTCATGTTATTTGGATGAGCGCCAAAATAATTCCAGCCCACATTTTCACTTCCTGCTTGTCGCATTCGATCGAAAGTGAAAAGATGCAACGTTTTTGTACGGAAATTCGACAATCGGAAATTGTTCTGCACGCCAAGGGATGAACGGCCTAGCAGTGAATAAGCCGATGAGTCGGACTCTGAAAAACAGAATTTTTGCGTGACCGCCATATGAATTATGAAAAGTTCTGTACCATTTAGATACGTATAGGCAACAAGTCCTTCTCTAACGTAATCATATTGAACATGTAGTGCAAATATAGCAGCTTCTCGGAGTGATTCGGCTCTCTCGATAAGGCCTGGCAACGGGCGGTCAAAGGAAAGGATTCCATTCGAAGAAAGCTAAAAATCACATAGTAAGGAACTGTCGATGGGCGGGAAGTCTTGAAGTCAATTCCTGGAAGAATGGATCTTACGTAAACGGTGTCGTAGGGTTTTCCAAAAACAAAGACTGGCGAAGGAAGGTCGATGGAAGCAATCGCATCCTTTTTTCTTGGCACAACTATGGAGTCGTTAGCGATAGGATAAAGGATAGTCTCTGAAAGGAAATGAATATTTCAGTTTGTTACGAATTCTTGACTTAGACTGAATAAAAGGTAACATACGAAGTTGAAGAGGAGCAAATAATTCTGATGAGGAAAGAAAGATTTTATTATACTCAAATGTTATCGAAAATACTCAAAAGTTGCTTCCGAACTGTTCTACCTTGTACAATACTCGAATACAAAATTTCGGATCTCTCCCAAATTTTGCGCTAACCTTTGCAGATTATTTGACATGTTAATCTGAAATGATACCGAAGTCCCTCCTCATGAGGCGGCTCTTTTCGACTGCTACGGTAACTTTACGGTAAGTGCCGGGACGTAATCTCAGAAGTCGCTGGGTTTTGCACAGAGAGGAGTTGTTGGACATGCTGACTGTCACGGATCTCACATCTACATCCATTGATTAATTATATGGCATTCAAAAAATCGTGACGATAGCGCGACCCGCAGGACACGCACGCACCTCCCGGCAACGGCATTTCCTTGGTTTTCACATCTACTCAAATGATTTTTCTGCTTACATATGATAGCATTCAGGCACTCGAAGTAACTGACAATGAGCTGGGAGTTGAGGTGTGTCTTTTTGTATGAGTGTTTTCTGCTGCTGTGGGCGCAAAAACCTCAGTCAAGTCCGAGTCACGATTTTATAAACGACATATAAGATGTATCGTGCTGTATACCTACTGTAACCGCATCTAAGGAGCTATCGTAAAGATTGAAAATGAAGGCGTTTTCAAATGCATATCAAATAGGTCAGACAAATTTACAGTCATTTCTGAGATAATCCCGTTCCGTATACTTACCATAATCCGCAAAGGATTCATATGAGAAATAATCTTTCGACCATCATGTCAAATGACCTACATTTGCAATTCAGAGATTGCATTTTTGAGTTGTTAAAGTGGAAAAGTACTTTTGAAGCGTAACTTTTCTAGGACAGAAATAATCATCCACTTTGAAAAAAACCAATAGTTTCCTTTGAATTATGTTCTCTCGATTTCGAACCAGTAAATAATATGCACCCTTTGATTCAACAGGCGGCTGGAAGGCGGGGCTTCGTAATTTAATTAAGGCTAGGAAATGATCAGAGAGCACGCGCGCGGGAAAGACGCAGACTGCGTCGCGGGCGCGAGCGGCCTTAATTGGATCACAAAGCCCTGCCTTCCAGCCGCCAAGCCACTGGAATCAAAGTTTAATTTAATCAGAGGCCGAACATGACACGAATGTGAGTTAAAAAGAACTTACCATGGCACTGCATTCCATCGCCAACAAAACCATCTGGGCAACTGCACGAGAACGATCCGACCAGGTTCGCGCATCGTGCTGCCGGGTGGCACATCGACAAGAAGCACTCGTCGATGTCGGTACAGCCGGCTCCTTCGGCTATTCGCTCAAATCCTGGCAGACACTCGCACTCGTAGCCACCAATCTGGAAAAATTACCGTTTCCTAACACTTTGCAGAATATATGTAAGCAATCGCGAAAACTCAAAAAGTGCAGATTTTATGGGCGTTAATGATCATAAGCAACAACTTCTTTTTCCACGCTTTTATTGACATTTGGAAGCCCTGAAAGCGAACGCGGCGTTGACGAATACATGAGATTATTTACACAAACACTTAGAATCGAAGAATAGTGGAAGTGGAGCTATGCAGCGCATCTCTCTGGAAGACTGCATTAGGAAAGAAAAGTTGTTGAGAGAGTATCATGCAAAAAAAGTGGCATCATCTTCGGTCTAAAACAAAAAAAATAATTGTTTCGAAAATCAGAGGGAGGGATGATCTACCTTCCAAGTGCTAGCCTAGCACTAGCATGCTAGCTTTAAAAGAGGAAATCGCATTATGTGATATCGGTGCTATCGAAGCAAGATGAACACCAAAAGGGCATGGGATTTCATTTACTAGAGAGAAATAAGCTTTAGAAAATGTCAAACAATCCCACCTGTTCGATCTACGCTAAGTTGGAATCCAAATTTTAAAGGGCTCCAGATGCTTGAAAATTCGAAAATCGTATCCTAGGATATCCCTACGAACCCCCAAGTTGGTTGACGATATATACTACATCAGACATTCATTTGCACGTTGCTGAATTTTCTCCACGACTAAAAAACGAAAAAAGAAAATTTTCACGTTTTTTCCAAGGTACTGGGCTATTTCCACACAGTAAGTCCATACTAATCTTTGCAGGCACAAATATGCATTTAAGGGCCTCAGGGCCTCACTCCTCTCTCGGAAATCTCGGAAAACACCAAATTCAGATTTTCCTATCGCACTATTTATGCTAACCAAATCAAATTACGAACTGATTTTTACTACGAAATGGTTGCGCTGCAAAAGAGGTATGGTGTAAAAGCAGGCAATTTAGTATTTGACGGCCAAAACACACTCTCATCATTTGTTTTTTTTTGCAGCAAAAAACAAGGTTTGGAATAGGTTCAGAAAAATCTTGTACGATATAATAACATGACACATAAGTGGGCGAAGCAAAACGTACGGTATTGATGCAGGTAGCATGAGGTCCGCAGTGATGTGATCCAAGAGCACATTCATCGATATCTAAATTTCAACTGATTCGTATGTCAGTGTAGTTTACGGCTAGTACAGTGCCCTTGTTTTAAAAACAACATTTGCGCGTAAGCGAACACTTGCGAATTTCGACAGGTTGATTGCGAAAAGCAAGATATGGCCATAGAGCGAACATTGCCCACCGTTTACGCGCAAATGTTGTCGGCAGAAGTGCCTCATAGCTTAGCCGCAAAATCTATTAGATGATACCAACTCACCACTGCAACCTCTCTTCGGATCACCATCGAAACCATCTTTACATATGCACTCAAATGAACCCGGACGATTTAGACATTCCACTCCGGATGCTTTACCACATGGGTTGCTTTCACGACATTCATTGATATCTGGCGATACACTTTTGAGTCAGAACTATTACAAGGAAATTCAATGTGCTTACCCACACATCCGCTACCCTCTTCAAAGCGAAAGCCTTTATCACATGTGCAATCATAGCTTCCAGGCCGGTTCACACATTCTGAATGCGCTCCACATACGCCACTTTCAGAGCATTCGTCAATGTCCACGCATCTGGATTATTGTAATGGAGAAAGAAAATTATCCTATTTTATTAAATTGATGCATAATTCCTGCACCAAAAAATAGAAGAAAAATGTTTCAAAAATGCTCGGCTTCAATTTACAGAATATGCTTATTGCTATGTATATCAAAAGTAGTAATTTATAGCACATTTTAGAAAATCAAAATAAACAAAATCAATGAGCAATCGAAATTCGCAACTATTCGCAAAGTCGTCCAATTACTGCCAAATTCTCTTGGTAAAAAAGAGTCTTTCATAAAACTAAGACCAAAAATAATCATAAATTTTAGTAGACGTTTCGGCAATTTTGGTGACCAAAAATCGAAAAATCACTTTTGTTTCTCTTAATCACCTTATATCGCAGCCATATGCCCTCATGGAATTTTGAGTCGAGCAGCTTCAGAAAGCGCAAGAATTTCTCCCTCAGTTACGTATCAAACAGTAGATTTCATTGCAGCTAGATGAAGTGACAGAATTTCAAGAAATTTGGTGCAGGAATTATGATCAACCTAATATTTTGTCTCTCGAAATAAATGCACGCTATACTAGACCCAGTGCCGATTCTTCCGCCAAAAAATTTGCACAGTGTGATTGTCCTTAGTTGCACTAAAAGTGTAAAAAAACAACCCACATGTTCTTATATGGCTTCCATCCAGCGTGACATTCACATTTTCCATCACGACACGAAGCGTGGATGTCGCATGGAGGACAAATGGGTGTTGACTAAACAATGAGAATTGAACAATATGAATGAAATAAAAGCAAGATTCAATGCTAAAACGCTTCGATTTGTCGATCCGAAAAATCGCGGTTAGTTTTGAACAGATTTTAGTTTTATACAGTGGAAGTCTTATCTGAAGCTTTTGAGCTGCAGTAAAGTAAATGATTACCGGTATCTGGAACATGCTTTTCGTATATTGGAATCAGACACGTCTCACGTCCAATGTTTGTGAAATTGAGCACAAAATTCCGTTTAGGAAGATGAATGATATATCAAATGTAAATAAAGGATGTGAGCCATCATTTCCACCCCATGGCTCAACAAAAATGTTATCTGGTACCAAAGAATTCAAGCAGTGCAAAGGCTGTGACTAACCCTTTAGCAAGGAGAACAAGCCCCTATAAAACATAGTATTCTTGTTTGTTCCCTAGAAGATAACGAGCCCATTTTCTGTGGTCACTCCACAATCATAGCCGCTGACCAGCACTATTTTGGCAAGTTGACGACCATGTGCATACGCCTGTATGCACGCCTTAACTTCCGTTCAGCATTTTCGTGCATACATGCATATGCACGCTAGTTTATTGGGTGTAAACGAAATCAAAGGTAATTTCTATGTAGTTATACTACTGGTGGCTTGATTGTTTTATAGAACACAGAGCACCGCGGCAGCTATTCAGAAGTTTGAACCACAGATTTGGGTAATCATTTTTGATGTGGTAAATATATGCTAATTATGTTTTTCTGGGAAGGCGGAAATTCTGTATAGCTGTTCTGAAAGCAAACAAGATGAATCGGGTAGAAAAGGCCAAGTATTTTAACGCTTTTCTCGAAGAGGGATTCAGATATAACCATTGATGGATTATTGAAGGGAAAATCAATGCAAAAATCTTGATTTGTGTGATACCTGGCAATTCTCTGTGATATGCATTTATCTTTGTGCAAAGTTCGCATGTTTTATGAATAAGTGTCAGAAAGAATCCTACATAATGATTTCATGCATACGCGCATATGCACGGGCCAAATGCGCGGAAATCGTTAGCGGGAGTTTCGTCAAAATGGCTCGGTTCACTTAATTGTTGACCAAGTAATAAAATGATAGGCTGTAATTAATAAATCCAAGAATTGATTTTTTGACATGCGCCTAAATCGCTCATATGACACGAAGGTGAATTCAATAGCAGCGTCAAAACTATAGTATTTATGACAATAATCTCGGTCACTTTGGCTTCTACAAATGCTGCACATGGTCGGGCCTATGCACATGGTCGCAAACGCTTATCAGTGAGCTCTTTGAAAGGAGCACCCCAATGAGAACTGTAATTAATTTTGATTGGGTAGGCTTTATTTCCTAACGAAGAAATGACCCAATGAAGTGAGATACCCCAATTTTCTCATTGTGCGCGCATTTTTGGATTAAAGATTTCAAATTGGCAGGTCGCAATTTCCAATCACTATATAGAGAAAACTCGTCTGTATACCGATACTAATTTACTCATCTGCACAAAGCATGAGACGAAGCTGAAAAATCGAATTGACTTTTGAAAATTTAGCCACATTCGGGCACAACAACCTTTACTGTTCGTAGAAAAATTCTAATTTGTTAATTATGATAGTAGAAGTTTCAGAATACTTCTCCTCAAGAACTTATGGAAAATAACAAGAAAAGTTTTCATGGAGATTTGCATGCCAAAACGAAATGTTTTTACCAAACTTATATTATACTAGTCGAGATCTCAGCGGGGTTATTAAGAAAATAGGTAAATAACTCAAGCATTCTAAGACCAAAATCTCTCACCGGTTTAGTCTTTGCTGGTTTGAACTCTGCTGTCTTAACCGTAGTTGGTGCCATTGTGGTGGTAACGGTAGTAGAAGTAGTCGAAGCCTGCAAGACCATTTGTCCATCTGATCTGTCTCAGTATTTGCTACCGTACCCTCACCGTAGGTTTCGCTGTTGTAGCAGTCGTTGTGGTGGTGGATGGTACAGTCGACGCGAACCGATTCCTCTGCAACGGTGGCTTCGTAGGTGCAGTGGTTCGGCCAAAAGATGGTTGGACTGGCACGATTTCTACAGGAATCTTCTCTTCGGAAGTGCTGAGCACTGGTTTTGAACCTGGAATGCTGCGCGATGCGATTGATTGAGAAATCGATAATTGATTTTTCTCACCTTTGCATTTCTTATTTGCCTCGTCGTATTCGAAACAAATGCAAAGATACGATCCAGGGGTGTTCAAACAGTCTGGCTGGGCAGATGGGCAAACGTCATCCAACTCACATTCATCCTCATCTAGAAACTAATTTTTTTACAATTGCGTACGAGTTTGGGGCCAAGGATGAGTTACCGTACCCTCGTCACAGACTGGCGCGCCTTTCCAGCCGGGTGAGCATCTCCCGTTAGGACAACGGCCATTCTCTTGATCGCAAGGGTCTCCACCATCGCAATGGCAACTAAGAGAATGATTTGGCAAGTGCAGGAAACTTATAAAATATGATAAAATGGCTGAAAATCTAATTTTTCAATAAAATTGAAATTTTTCAAAGTATCATTTGCATCAAGGATAAAAACAACCGGATATGAGAGAAAAGCACAAAAAATTCAAAGTTTCCTCCAAGACCCGAATCAGAATGAAAATCGGATTTATCTTCAACACAGAATCAACCCTATCAAGCTTGCTGTTATCTATTTTAGTCTTCAGGTAGTGTAAGCATACAGTAATCCTACAGTAAAACCTGCTGGAATCTAGGATAATGTGAACTAAACGATGAAACCGGAATGTAGTGACAATCAATAAAAGTATTTAACCTCACTTTTTGGAGCAATCATTGAACCATTGAGAAGGAGCACAGCTATCAATACATTCCAATCCTTTGAATCCAGCACCACAGAGGTAAACCTAAGAGGTGAGATTTATTTCCGCATAATTGGAGTCGACAAAATAATTTACGGTTCACTTGATGGTGCTCAGGCAAACATGGTATCTGATTTTTGGTGTGGATTACCCTAAAGGGCCGGGCATACTTCACGCGATTTCGATCGTGACGCGATTTGGCAATTCGCCAGAAGTCTTCAGATCCGATACTAGCAAACTGCGCATGCACAGTATGCATAACTTACACGGATTGATGAAATGCCCTATCTTCTGCACATTTTAAATGTGCTTATAGCGAGTTATGGACAATTGGAATGTTGCCGAATCGCGTCGCGACTGAAATCGCGTGAAGTATGCCCGGCCCTGAAGGCAGAACTCTAGGTGAGCCATTGCCCAAACGGCACCTCATATAATTCATTCATGGCCAAGAAATTCAACTCCACATTTTCGCCTACACCGTAATTTTCGCAAGCCAACCAGCGTGTACAAGCATAGTGGCTATTACGGTCTTAAGAACAGTGTTGAGTTTCTTGACTATGAATGAACTATACGATCTTCTGCTTGCACCACGGCTAGGCCAAGCTCTCAGTCATTTTCCACATAAGGAACTAGATACTAGATTACAGGTAATAGGTTGGCCTTGATGCCCTTTTATGCAAATCAACATGAAACACTGAGATTTGAACCGAACTAAGATTCATTTGTCACCTGAGTCTCATCCACTCGAAATAGCCACTCCCCTGGAATACCAATGTCACTTTTTTCAGACAATAAAAGTGCATCATGAGTGGCTGAGTCGGGAAGGGAATACGAGGTATTTAGCGTAGAAAATCCAGCCTGCAATGAATCAATCATTTCACTAATACAAAGCGCACTATATAGAAGGGATTGGCTTTGGATGACTGCACATCAACGGACGCTGGCCATTAAAAGAACGATAACGAACCACAGCGTTGTCGTTCGAGTTCAGTTTACTGTAGACAATATGAGCGAATGTCATCGAATCTCCGATAATCAGTGCTAGCTGGAAGATGTTCCCGTCGGCTTCCTAGAATCAAACTTGATATGGAGAAACGCTTTCAAAATTGTTTGCAGAGTTTTAGGTCTGATTGACTGGTGAGAATAGCAGCTTTGATAGAGGAAAGAACCTTACGTTTTTTTTAGTTATTGGGATGAATGAGTGAAAGCAGTCATTTAAATACATGAAAGTCTATGATATCCTATTTCTTAGTATAGAATCAGCAGTGATTAGGTGTAGTTAAGAGGAAGAAAGGACAGCGCCACGAGGGCTTACTAAAAATAGAAATTTACCACCACTGACTAAGTTATAAAGCATCACAAAGTATCTCAGCGATCAAAGCTACAATAGCCGATTAGGTAGAAGAGGAAAAAGCTGCAGTTCAGTTCGCGCGGAACCGTAAGGGTATTTTTACGAAATAAATATTTTGAAAAATTATCTACTAAGAAGTGACTCAAGCCTTTTTATTTTTAAAAATCTAGATGTAACAAATCAAGCAATTTTTGTGGCCTTTCTTCTCCAGAAGAAATAGTAAAAAATTCACGGATGGAGCTATGTACCTATACCGTACCTCTTTTTATGTTTAACCTTCGAACAGCAGAATGAACCACGAACACCACACCATCTTAATGGGAGCGAATACGTATACTCCCAGAAGTATGTAAGTTTAATTAACACAGAAAATCAAAACTTTTTAAACTATGGACAGCAGCTGAAGAGAAATTGTATACATCAGATGAAAGTAAATAATGTTATTGTAAGATTTGTGCTGGTTATATATTTGATACATAAGTTTCACACAGACTTATAAAGCAAGATTCATAAAATCTGTTGATCGTAACGAAATCTCACCGAGAGAAAAAATAATCCAAAACTTAACCCAAATGGATAAAAGAGGCAAATTAGACTAAACTGATATAGGACTTACAGAATTTATCGGTCGTCCACCCTCCCAAGTAATGATCACCACGCTCTTTACTCTGAACTGTGATCCATACCGATACTGAATATTTACTTCGTTGTGGGCGAGGTTTATGATGTTGGCATCTGAAACAAAAGAAATTCAACGGATGCTGTTTTGTAGTGATTATTTTTGAGAGCAGAACTAACCATCGGTTTCTCTATAAAATACTCGAGCCCCTTCAGTTTTCATCCAATACACAGCCAATACAGGCTCATCGACTGGAAGAGTTGCTGGGGTCGGCACATTCGGACTGAAGGTCACCACTCCGGATGAGTGAATCTATAAGCGATGACAATAAAATGGACAAAGAATGACATCCTTTCTGAATCTTCTTATTTCCCACAGTTCCCTGATTCATTTCCTTCCTAGTCTCACCCAATTCGCAGAAAATTGCGATTTTCTCTCCTTCTAATGGAGATATCGCGGTCACACAGGCGAAATTGATACGATGTAATCGCAAAAGTGAAATTACGGAGAAATTCCTCCAACATTCCGGAGGTTTCGCTCGTAATCACCACATTTGCGTGAAATGATATTGGAAGTATTCACTAACAAGGAAAGGATACTCGGTCACCATGGGCATTTGGAATGCGATGTATACTGTAAGAAGCACCTCGAAACGCCGATTCCAAATCTGTACTCGCTATCTGCGAAACGATCTTCTGAAGGAAGCTATGCTTTTTTTCGTAGAAAAAAACGTATTTGTGTAGTTAAAATCACCAAATTTGTTCTAAGTTACCATCTAAAGCTATTGAAGAGAGTCTTGAAAAGAATACTGTTGTTCTATACCTATCTAAATCATATTCAGCACTTGAAAAGAAAAGAAAATTTCCATTGATGATTTTGACCCTTCGCAGTAACGCAGTTTATTCATGGAAAAATAATCATAACTCCATCCAGATTATCGTTTCGCAGAGATGGGAGGAAGTCAAACCAGCATCAAAAAGCGCATTTTTTGATATACAAATCATTATGATGGCGCGGTGACCAAGTTTCCTTCCCTTGTAAGTATTTACTATTTACTTTGAATACTTTTGAGCCTTTCTCAACTAGTAAATTCTAAGAAGTGAAGGTAGATCTTTGCAAGTGTGCAATTGCACATCTTCATGTGTCTAGGATGTCGGCGATGCAGCGAGGTTTTGTTGTCAACAATCAAGCTTCCTTAGACACATGCAAAATAAACACAGGAAGAAAGTGTTTGAACCCAATGATCAGCCCTAACCTGGAAAGTGTGCAGTTGCACACATTAACAGGTATGCTTAACAGTATCGGGCTGGAATACAAGCTTTACATCAATACTTCAAAAAAGAAACCTGTAATCTCTTTAATTGATGCATTCGTTCTGTTTGAGATATTTTAGAGCAGTTAGATTCTGAATTTTAAATTTGTGGTGTACTTTCTGAATGGGAAAAACTTCGCTAATCTGGCATTATTGCTATAAATGGTCGTTACACCAATATTGAAATGAAATTGTTTGAAAAAGATCTTTAATAAATACAATATAATAGGATATATCATCATGAAAAAAATATATGAACGTTATCTAACGTTGTCTCGAGAGTTTTTTTCATAAGTTTCTAGGTTTTTCTAAAAATATAAGACTCATTTTACCAAGTACACATTACTGTTCAATGTGTTTTGCAAGTGAATTAGAATCAATTCGTCCATGTAAAAAACCAGCTCGTGACCTGCAGTTTGCCCGAAACCCTCGAACAAACATTGTTGCCCTTATTAGGGGTAGCGAAGGTGGGGGGGGGGGGGGAGGGAAGTAGGATACGGCGCGATTGGGACGTTGCAGAAAGGGACAGCATAGCTAATATAAGGAAGAGAGATGATCTATTGAAGAGAAGAAGAAAGCGAACGATGAGAAATGAACCAAGGAAAAAGTCTAGGATTGGAACTGTTAGAATGTCCTAGTCTTGTACCAGAAAAAACTCGAAATTCCGAAAAATCTAGAAAAAAAAGAACCAAAATATTGTATGTTTCAATCATATATCTAATCAACAAGTATAATTTTCATCCGCTTAAATGAAGTCAAAATAAAAATTCGAAAACTATAGGTTGTAAGACGTGCAATCAACACGGATTTTTTGCGGTCGAAACAAGTGGACAATAGAACCAAAATGAAAATAAGAATAGCTTCTATACGAGCACAAAGAATGTTATCAGACTGATGTAAAAAATTATAATAGGCATTTTGAAAAGCTTCTATACTTCTAGCTTCTTTCCTCTCCCCCCTGCCTACATTCCGTTCATCATTTACCTCAATTATATTTTTTTATCAGAACAAAATGGTTGATCTACCTGAAGGTACAGAAGAATGTAAGAGCGGATCAAGTTATAACATTACTCAAATTAGGACAATCCAGCATTTGACGGCTTTCCCGTAAGCTGTAGAACCAGTCACCGAAAACAATGCTGAAGGGTTAATTAGTGAAGAGGGAGGTTGGAACGGGGAGAGGGGGGGGGGGGCTTAAGTGATGTGGTGGTTGTCATTTGATTACTTGAAACACGTACTCTAAAAAATGGACAAAAGAGAAAACACAGTGATTTAATTTTAAATGTCGACTTCGACAGCGGCTAGTTCAGCTTAATCGGGTATGCATCTTCTAGCTCAATAACTGCAATTCCAAATAAACATATCGAATAACCTTGGAAACAACTAGAAATTGAATTTTCATTCGCTTATTCATCTATTCATAAAATTACATATTTTTGAACTCTGCCAAAGGAGACTAACAAAAACGAGAAGTATGGAGAATGAAACTCGACCAAAACAGAATGTACCGAATGAGGAAAGTTTTGACATTTCAGTTATAGTCAATCAATACACGGAGCTAAGGCTAGTCTTTCCTATACGCAAATGAAAAGCAGAAAAGCAACAAAATAACAAGTCAGTCGAGTTTACAACAAAAACGCAAAATTGATTAATTTGTCACTTTCCTTGAAAATCATATTTCACAAAGGCTCCCAAACAGCACAATTCCCTCTCAGTTACAAAGAGAGGTCATAAAACTCATATACCGACGATTTCAAATTTTTCCGAAACGTTTCAGATTTCTGGCGACCTAACTCAAAATGAGCAAAACCTGCATGGTCTTCTTCTTCTATTTTTTGCTCTGCAATGCCTGCATGGTAGGATCTCGTCAATACATATTTATAAAGAAGAAGACATGTCTTTTCAATAAGTTTACCCAGAAGAAAATCCGTCAGGATAACGAAAAGTTACAAATCTTCAAATATGGAAAGGCAAAACTTTAAGGGGGACCTAAAGTAAGAGAAGCAGTTTCGAAAATATTAGGTTGGAAATATAGCAAAGCAATAAGACGAATCCAAAATATGTCAGCGGCATCATTCGATCGAGCAAAGCGAGCTATTATATGCGAGTCATCACAAATTGACCTTCGAAGTTCGAACTTTACCAGAAATCGTGATTTACCCAAAAGCTAAAAAGTTTTGGAGCTAAAAAAATGATAGCAACTCATGATGCCAAAAATCGGATATTTGCCCAGAAAACCCTACGATTTTCCCGATTGCTTTTGCTCGTAACTGACACATGGAATATCCATAGGTACACATGATACAATTTTTTCATGCTTAGAAATCAAGAAAAAATTGAGGGGGAAATTGTGAACTCCGCCCCTAGTGGTCTTGTGCACCTCGCGTATAAGCCGTTATATACTACAAACCTCCGAGATTTCTCGACCATAATGGCCTTTATGCTTTAGTTTCCCGAAAAAAAAATCAATTTTGACAGAAAAAGACCGAAAAAGCGACATTCTTTTCTTCCCAACCTATTACATTCAGTTTCTCCCACTTTTCTCTTACAGCTTCTTCCTTCCTCCGCGCATTAATACAATACTATAAAAGAATCAACCAAGCGAGGTTAAAAACTACATGTTACAGCTGATACAAATGGAGGTACGAGTCCCTACTTTTTCGAGTTATAATACTGCTCAAAAACACGAGAGTGGATCTTGTTATGTTATACGCACTAGTGATCATCATTGTGCCATTACAGTTGTCTCGGTTTTTTTTCAAAGAAGAACACTGATTCAATGTAAAAGCTAATATAAAATCTGCTCGAGTGACTTTGTACATTGCAGCTTGACATACAATGAAGGTACGAGATATGTAAAACGAAAAATCGCTTGTAATCAAACAAAAGAAGTTGGCTAAAAAAATTGACTGACAGTGCAGCAATTGTATGGGCAAAGAATTCTGTCAAAAAGTTGAGACGCTAAGCTTTTTCTTCTTTTGGTATGCGAAAAGAGCTTGGAAATGTAATCAATATGTACTTTATACTTAGGAGATTCCAGACATGAGTAAAAAAGGGAAAGGATAAAGGGCGAGGATTACTGGTTCATAGTTCCTTTCCACACTGAAAGTTCAAGCCAAGCAAAATTGACTAAGACTCCCAAATGTCAAGTTTGAGGAATCTACTAGCTGAATGAAGACGAGCTTTGATGAGAATTTCATCCCTTCGGTTTACAAATAAAAGTGCTTCCAAAAACGAAAGCAGCAAACCCGCCTCACAAAAATTTGAAAGTAAAGTTCAAATCATTCGCTTATATTTGTTTTTGGCATTCAATATTACTTGATTACTATATGAGCGGAATCTTTATTTGGCTTAGCAAATTAACGATTTGACATAGTCTTATTCACTAATTTGATTGAGGATTGCTCGTAGATCTCTTCTAGACTCTTTATCTCTAGTAGGAAAACCTCAGGAGTTGCTTGTTCCCCGTCTAGCAGAAAAAAAAACAGCCAAAATGCTTGTCCCTTCGTGCTTTATTGATTCAAAGTAGTCCTGTCTTTTTGTAAAAAATAAACTTATCCCGCATCTAGTTCCAAGTGAAGCAGATATAGAATAGTGCTTCTGGAAATCAGATCTACCGGCGTAGATCCAAGGTCTGATGTACGCTTGTTAATGAGCAAATTAGTTGCAATCGATTGCCAATCGTAAAAAAAATGCTACAGGCTAGAAAGCAAGCAAATGTTGCTAAAAATTACGTAAATAGATTAGCTTAACAAAAAAACAGGTTGCAACTAATTTACAAATTGTTTTAGCGCTTAAAGAAAAAGTCTTGCCTCTGGGAAAAAAAATGCGAAAAAAGCGGATCTATAAGATGATGATGTACTGCAAAATCACTACCTCTGCTCTTCTTGTACATGTTTTCGGATAAGAGACTATAAGTCGCCGATAGGCTCCACCCCCACGCGGACAACTAGTACGATACTGCGGTGTGCGGAGCGGCGTGCTTTGTGGCAGATATCCGTGTGGGACCACCTCCTTCCGGCGGCATGCAGTCCTCCACTCTATGATTTCAGGTGGAAAATCATAACATAAATAAAGTAAAGGCTGCCAAACAGTAAATTTTTCACTACATTAATTGACCTACAACAGAAAAAATCTTGAATCAATACAGAAGATGTTTTCAGGCGATGTTAGTTTATTTAGTAACCTCAGCAAGTATTTCTTCTAAAACAATCTTGTAAAAAATGAAGCTAAATTAACATAAGAGCATGGTTTGACCTTAAAAAAATTGAAAAAATTTTCCTGACTTTCCATATTCGCCGTTTTCGTTCCCGTTCGCGCCATTCCTAAGCTTCTCTCCCCATATGGTCAGTCCTCCCTATTCGGGATCGTCATCTAGTGATAACGATGATTCACAAAGTCTATCTATGAAACCCTCGCATTTCGAAACCCTTCCCCCCCCCCCCTCCCTTCCAAGAACCTGTCGTCTTGCGTCAACAGCCGGGAAGCAACCAACGAGGCGACCGACGGGAGCGAGAAGGTCTCGAACATCGTCGCTGACCGCAGTCGTCGTTTATGACATCGTCATTTGTTCTTAGCGGATTCGAGCACTTCTATTAGCAACTTGGAGGAGACGATTATGCAATGCTGCTAAGGATTAGAGGAAATGGGAGATGGAAGGTAAGACCATGAGCTTTTTGAAGAAGAGAAGATACAGAAAACCAAATAAGATACGCAGTTTTTGAAATACTCAAGAAAACGGGCCATTCATTATTGAAGACAGCGAACAGATACCAATACCTAATTTTTTTCTTCCTTCTGACTTTATCATTATTCGTTGATTACATGTACTAGGTAGATTAGAACTTTTCAGAATTTAATATTTTGTCGCGTTCGATACATTTTAATACGTTCTTTTGAAGCTAACTTCGCCAAGGAATGGTTAAAAATAAAAATTGGTCTAAAAATGCTCAACAAGAAATGAATGTTGTGCAAATTAATCAGAAATAATTAATTATGCGAGTGTAATAAAACAAGTAAACAAATGATTGAATAGGTATCAAATGAATATTAAAGGAAGCTTAACTTATCATCTATAGAAACAGCCTTTCTCTTTTGCAAACATATGGAAGTTTTCTTTTGTAAAACATATAGAAATGTTATAATGACAAACATTCAAATGAATAGAAGGATAATCATTAAGTAAATGATGATTCAATCAAGAAAGAGTAGAATGAAAAAATTGACTAACTAATGATTAAAAGAGATAAATAAGTGCTAAATGTTTGCCCAAATGAATATAGAAAAAAAGGATGTGCATGATAGCAATAATTTGGAAATCGAGATAACTTTAGCGCACTCACTGCTTCTTTTCTTTCAAGAATCTGCAGAATGCAAAAATACAAAATTAATGCGTTTATCGCTAAAAAAATTGTTATATTGAGCATGTACATAAGTTTTTCTTATGAAGGGCAACGAATTTTGTTTTTGAGCCTAGGTCTTTCGCAGGACTGCTTGTTTTGACATAAGGAACTCAGCAATAACACAATTCCGAATGCCGAGATTCCATGGACGCTAAGCAAGCAATTCCTGACAATTCTGTATTTTATTATTTTGGAACGTGCCCTACCACCAATATTTTCAAAAATGCGAGATACTATTACCCAATTTTCTGTGTTTGATAACCTTGTTCTTCTCTAAAATGGAACTTTGTTTGGGCCTAGTCAGTAGCCTTCGCCCGCAGGCTCGCTGGCAAAAAAAAAGGGGGGGGGGGGGTACTACAATTTTTAGAGAAAACAAGGTTTTAGTATTTTCTGTGACTTCAGATGTCATTTGGGAGCTAATTCTGATTTATATTTTTGTAATACAGTGTCTTGATTTGTAATTGTTTTCTTCCATGTCATTTTTATCTGCCTGAGTTGTGAGACTACTGGTACCGCATTTCGAATTCCTTTTTTTCGGCAAATTCAATTGTGTTTATAAGTAGATAAATAAACACACAACTGAAAAACTTTTCTCATCATTATTAAGATAAATTCTCTGAAAATTTTGATGCGGGACCTAAGTTTCAATCAAAAATGCAGGTAGTTTATTTATGAGTATCTCCCTTACTAAAACCAACGAGCAACGATTTTACCCTATGAAACCACACAGGCTACTTTCATTATTCTCACTTATAAGAGCGCGAAGAGGCATTAACGTTTACTTTCGCTCGGGTAATAGAGACGAATAACACTTACTCGAGTAATAGAGATGAATTACTCAGAGTAGCCCCTTGTAAAGGGGTCATCTAGACATAATGGGTTATAAGCCAGTTGGTCTTAGCCTCTTAGTAGGATCCTATTGAGTTGATACACGCAACAAAGAAACTTAGGGGTTAGCAAGAATCAAATTTATCAGGAAAAAATAACAGGTTGAGATGTATACACCATGGCAATAGACAGGAAGAAGCAATGAACAAGAAAAAAGCTTTGGAAATGAAGTGTAGCACATAATGTGATTACAGTAGGTCAACTATCCTAAAGTGTCAAAAGCTCTGGAAAAAGCGAAAAATCAAAATCTTGAAAAAGCAGAATAAAAGCCTTGGTAAGGGTTTCGTGAAGAGTTTAATTTCTACACTGTATTAAAACGGTAGATAGAGCGATGCCTCCAAGATGCTGAAGAAAAATAAGATGGGCGAAGGTGGTGGGGGGGGGGGAGGGTGAACATGTGTAGAGGGGAAACTTCGAAATTTCTCTTCTTAATCAATTCCGACATAGGCTATAGTAGGCATGACAGTCAAAGCAAAAACGCAAAGGGTAAAAACTCGAATTGTTACCACAGTAATGCTACCGTACTGTTTACTGTAACGAAATGGTAAATAAAACAACGCCTTCAAAAACGCGGAAAAAAGCATAAGGGGGGGGGACGAAGTAGAAAGTGATAATCTATGTGATAGTTTTTACCTATTTAATATTTATGAATGTTTACGTAAAAAAGTGACGAAAACTTCTAGAGGATTCTTAACACAGTACTGCTACCGTAGTTCCGTTATTCCAATTTAACGATAATTATCCAAATGTGATTAAGCCACTTTTTGAGTTGATTATAATAGATTTCTGAGCCGACTTTCCGACCCAATTAGACTGCTTTCTTGGAGCGCGTTAACCTCGTTCCCCGTAGCCGACGGGGGGGTGATAAATCGGTGATTTCGTTGACCTTGCAAATGCAACTGAGATATAGAATTTTAAAGAACCATTAGGATTTGGTTTTGGCAGAGAAAACGACAAAGAATAAATCCATTACTGTAGGGTTACTGTAAGGTTACTGTAACTCACGTAGATTGTGTCGTAGACTTGTCCAAGATAGTGAAAAGGATTCGCGAGCTTATAGGGCTCACTATCCCCATTGATTAGGAGATCACCCTTGCTATCGCCGTAGGGGTAGAGTCTAGCTGAGAATATATAGGGTACAGTAATATTGAGATCAATCTGCTGATTCGTGATGTCGCCGAGTTGTCGCTTATACCGTCGATGAGCTGAAAACGAGCAAAATTAACAAAATTAGCAACATGGCCAGTGAATGGGGTCATGCTTGGTTTGGATGAGACGGAAATCGTCCCCCCCCCCTCGTGGTTTGCCCTCACCTCCGTAACGAAACGCTCGTGACTGCGCGGCGGACACGCAGAAGAGCGGCAGCAGAGCGCATAGCCCGACCAGAAGCGCCCGACGCATTCGACCCGAATGCGCAGATCGCCGCCCGCCCCCTCCTCCCCCGACAACGCCGCCGCCGCCGACGACGTCGTGCTACGTTCCAGCCGCTCGAACGATGGCTAATGAAATGGAAACTGTGGGTCGGAGGGCTAGCAGATAGGAGATGCACTTTTGGAGCAAGCTACCGTAATTTTGCGGACTTTTGCCATTTTTCCCTCCCTTTAGATTGAGCACGTCTTGTTTACAGAGAAGATGCAGTTTTGGTGTTCCAGCATGTTTTTTCAATATTTATTTCTCCAATCTTCCAAATTGAATCTGCGATAACATCAAACTGGAGTTATCTACTCCGTACGCAAAGCTTTTTTCAAAGTCGATTTTCACGCCTATGCCGAAGCTAATTCGAATCATCGTCTTCGAAAGCCAGCTCTAAACTGTTTCTACAAATATTTATCTTCCAGAATCCATCGACTATCCATAAATCTTAGCATAGTTTGAATTTTCTGGTTGATTTTTTCGTAGCTTCTAAAAAGGCGGTACAGATATTTATTGCACGATATGGAGAGTGACGTTTCTGTGTTTATTTTGACCTAAAATCTAGAATGGCAGTTAGAATCTTAATTTTGCTGCAGGCCCAGCTCAGTAAGATGGAAAATTTATTTTGTGAGTAGATTCCGACTGGCCCTATGAAGTATTTGTTGAAAGTCTCACCTGAGTTTGCATACAAGTTGCCCATGCCAGCGCTATGCCAGCGTATCCCAAAGTGGTGCCAGCTCCGTTCCAGCGCCGTACTGGAACCTCGATCAAATCCATACGGGAAACGTGCACGTAGCTGCCGGCACGGCGCTGGCACAGCTCTGACAAACGAGACCCCCCGAAGCACCTTTAGGCAAAAACCTACAAGGAATGCACGTTTAGTCGAAGTGGCCTTTTTAGATAAGACGGATAGCGTATTGAAGTGCATAAAGTGGAGGTTCCAAATCTGCTTTCCTTATATGCAGAATATTTATGGACGACGAGTTATGAGCGCTTAATGGAGCAAAAAATTGAATGCGCAAGTTGGACGAAAATAGCCGTAATACTTTTTCTAGCTCTTCAACGTAGCAGTGATAATCATCAGAGCACTTTATTCAAAAAATACTCAAAAATAAAACATGTGTCAAACTTGGTTGCATTATTTTCAGGGCTAATCTCTGAGCTTCATGCTGGATTCTGGTGTAAGTATTGAGGAGAGCTCTTGATCAGTAGTTTATTGGCAATGGCAACGTTTCGATTTTTAAAATCGTCTTCAGGCCTTGAATTACAATATAAATGATATATGAAAAAGAAATACAAACGGCGCGTGTACCTTCATCTTCTTCTCAGATGGGAGGTAGAGAGGGGTAGGGTTGTTGCGGGATAGTATACAGTAGCAGTACCCTCCTTCTCTGGTAAGTCAGTAAAGAATGAACTCCAGTCGCTTGCACTCACTCACTTGAGTGCAAGCGACTGGAATTCATTCTTTACTGACTTACCAAAGAAGGAGGGCACTGCTACTGTATACTATCCCGCAACAACCCCACCCCTCTCTACCTCCCACCTGAGAAGAAGATGAAGGTACACGCGCCGTTTGTATTTCTTTTTCAAATATCATTTATATTGTAATTCAAGGCCTGAAGACGATTTTAAAAATCGAAACGTTGCCATTGCCAATAAACTACTGATCAAGAGCTCTTCTCAATACTTACACCAGAACTAATTTTATCCAAAATGCACATTCAACTTTTGGCTTCAAGAAACGCTCATAACTTCTCGCCCATGAATGTTCTACAGATAAGGAAGGAAGGCTTGGAGTCAGCGTTTTATACCCTTCAATATGGTATACATCTCATTTAGAAAGGCCACTTCGACCAAACAAGCTTTCCTTGTAAGACAGATAACCTCGAAAAACAAGTGCGCCATTGCAACTGCATATTTTTTGGTTGTATTTCTTTGTACGCCAGCTGAGATCTGAATCTGGCCAAGAAAAAGATGACTATGAAGTTTTATATACGTGTCTCCTGCTACATACTCCTGCCAAAAACAATTACATTTTTTCCATTCAGCCATTCAATATTATTTTGCAGTCTTCATCACTGCTCACCTATTTTTGTTCTTACGCAAATTCCGTCTACTCCGCTGCACACTGAAAGATGAACTGAAGTACTACACAGCGCTTACCCCATTTACTTCATTGCTATGAGTGAATGAAATCTATGGCTCTCCTCGGAACTTTAGTAGGAAAGAAAGACCTCGTATCAATGTTATTTTGTTCTTGAAATTTGTGTATATTATTGAATTTTTCAAAGAAATTTGAGCTGTGAAACAGCTCTTGGCTGAGAACAAGGTTGTCTAACAGTGGCTTACCCCGCCACCTCCCTCGTACTTTCATTTTACCTTGTCGCAAAAACACAGGCTTTATGACTTAAAGCTCTTCTTTACATTGCAAACTACTCTTTGCCTATCCATCTTCCTCCGTCGAGTTTTCTTAGAGGTCTAGAAAATCTCCTTGCGAGAAATTACTTCAAAAAAAAATTTGCTCTAGTGAAATTGCTGCTGCTTGGCCTTTCATCGGTTTATCGAAAACCAAGCGAGAATATTAAGGCTCGGTAACAACAGTTTTTCAAATTCATACAAATGACTCATCCCTGTTAACTGGTTATCTGCTCAATTTCTGAAGTGCTCAAATAAAAACTGCAGACTTTACAGTGGAATTTTAGCAGGAAATAGTCAGAACTTGAAACAGCCATTCTAAACAAGCTGTATATCATCGGACTCGTTTCAAAACGCTAATTTCAATAAACGTTTTAATCTGTCAAACGAGTATCTGGAAGGAGTTATGAGCGTTCAACTATGAGAAATTTTTCGAGTTTCGACGAATTTTCCTTCAAAGGCAGCCTGATAGCGCGGACTTACAGTGGCTATGGTTATTTTGATTACAAAGAAGAACCACATTCATCAAAAACGCAAATAAGTGTTTTGAGACCTATTTCGTGAAGCATGCGCTAGAAAATGCCTTACAAATCGCACATTTAAATGGACATAACTTTTCCCAAATGGTTGCTTGGCAGATAAAAAATTGTGATTAGTTTCAAGGCGAGTCCGATGATATACAGCAGATTTGGTATGGCTGGGTTAAGTTTTGAACATTCCCTGTCTAACTTATTTAATCTGGGTAATCGCTGTAGACAAGCGATTTGAACAACTCTTGAAAAAGGATGATATCAGTGTAATGCAAAAATTGCTTATCAAGCGCTAATTACAAATTTCCAAAATTTTTACACATTTTCGCGATTATCCACTCTCGATTTTCTTTAGTGTTTGACCACTTTGCTATAATGCGCGAGAAATCGCAGATTTTTTTTCATTTTACTGCAGGTTCTAAAAAGCGAAGTTTACTTTTGGTCTTACTGTTGGTATGGAAAATGTGGTACAATATAAAGAGATCTGGATTGGGTTCCCGCAGAATTATGCTGCTAGCAATTTACATTTGCAAACATTTTCGATTTTGAGATGTGAATATCTATCTCGATCCTCATGAGCACATGTAAGGTCTGCAGGAAATCATTCAGTAAATTTCGCATCTGTTTTTTTTTGGAAAGAAGAAATATACCTGATTCGACAAAAGCCTAGTGAAGCCATAGACGAGGTGACATTCATATCCTCTCCCCTCGAGGAACTGCACTAAAAATAACTAAAAAAGCTACACTAGAAACTACAAACTACAACTGCAATGTGAACATGAGCTGAGTACAGTATCCTTGTTTTCTGGCATTGCTACAGGTTTCGATTTAAAGTTGGCAAACCATGCAATCTCAATAACATGCTACTGACACTCTTTTTCAGCCTGGCGCAAAACCTCTTTATCAATAGTTGACTATCCTTGAACTCGTGCCGTAGCGGCAAGAACTATCCATTGTCATCGCATCGTTGCGTTTGAATCAAGAAATCTTAAGCATTCTTTGATATGTTGGATAGTAGAGGCCAGAACGATGGAGAGAGGGGAGAGGAGGTTGAGGAGGAGGAGGGGGAGGGGGAAGGAAGAGAAGCAGATTACTATGGCTACGGTTGGACTATGTTATATCTAACCCTGTTGTTTCAACTCCCCCCCCCCTCCCCTCCCATAATTGTACATCTTATAATATATCATGTAGAATTTTACTTGCTTGACTACCAGAAAAGGTTGGGAACCGTCCTTGGACTTGCAACTTTTGTTGTCAAGCACATCGTAAATATTACTCGGAGCTCTAAGATAATGCTCAAGGTATCAACAAATTTAGATTTCTTGTAGAAAACTAATTCAGAAATAACAGTTATTGAGGTACTACTCAAGCGGCAGCTCAGTATGTTTATTCGTGACGATATCCAACGTTGAACTTTCGACCACTACCGTACTCTTTCAGAGCGGGACAAACAGCTCCTCGAGTACGGTAGAAAGTAGGCCGGCTGTCCTTCAAATTTATATTTTTCTGCCATTCATGGAGAACATGAGTTGTCTTTTGAAAATGGCAATACCGTACTCGAGGATGCCTGGTCGGCCTGGAAATACGGTATTGGGCGAGAGTACTGATGGATATTTCACCAAAAATTCTTGAGCTTTGGCAATAGTCTAGTTATAAAGCATCCCAATTTTTTCAGCCAGGTCTATCTTATGCAAACCGTCCAAGTTGCAATGACGCGGTTCCGTTTGAACCAAATCAAAAAATCTTTGAAAACTGGTTTTGTTCATTTTTTTTTCGCGTTTTTGCCAGCATTTACGTGAATCAAGTTTTATCATTGAGATGTAAATTTTCTTTACGACGTTTTTTTCTTCAACCATGATGTCAAACAGGTGAGCACCATGGACGAGTTTCTCGGAGAATGCATGCAAACGAGATCAGAAATTTCTTGTGCCGATTCGCTACGGATTTCACTGATGCGGAAACATGCGAAGAACGCGAAAAACTCTCCTCTGGCTTAATGGAACAAGCTCTCGTTCAACGCATAAATGATCTTCATATCAATTTGGGGCTCTCGAATGCGTATAGCGTAATTTTATTGGGATTCGAGAGTGCAATGAGAATTTCGTTGAAGTCTCCTATCAGAAGGACGTCGTTACAAAAAAATAGACTTCGGAAATTTCCATTTCAGTGTTATCCAGGATCAGATGTAACCATAGCATGGACGGCAGGAAACTGACTAGTTATCAATCAGCACTTCCTATTTTGAACTTATAAATAATGTGAATGTAAATTGTAAGATTGTAAATTGTAAACTGTAAATTTAGGTACAGGAGGTGGAACGAAGGTGAACACGAAAGGTGGAATAGGGGGGGGGGGAGGGGTTACGCGCGATAATGGGTCGCAAAATTCTGGAAGTAGCTACGAGTCATAATGTGCAAGTCGCTTGTTTTATTTTGATCAGATTGATTCTCGAATTTTCTATAGAACCTCAATTTAGAAAGTGAAAACTTTTGAATTGCTCTCACGCCCCTTTTTTCAAACAATTCAACAAAAAGTATCCTCAAAACAGTGGCGTACTGAGGGGGGCGCCCCTCCCCCCCCCCCCCGAGAACGGGTCGCGAAATTTTTGAAAGTTATTTACATGAGTTATAAAAATGTGCAAGTGACTTGTTTGTTTTTGTAAACAATAAAAATAACTTTTAAAATTTTTTAAAAATTCAAATTAGCCTTATAAAAAAAAATTTTTCGAGGGCGTGGCTAGCACCACGCCCCCTTTTTTCAGATTTCAGGGGTCGCGGGCCCGCAAAAATTTTGAGAATCTCCCCTAAAAATTTTTCGGAGTGCGTGGCTAACGCCACGCACCTTCATTTGAAAAAATTTTTTGCCGCGCCCCCCCCCCCCCGAGCCGAAATCCTGCGTACGCCACTGCCTCAAATCATTCTCGAAGGGCAAGACTGATGTTATTCACCTTCATAAAAAAATTGATATTGTTTTTCCCGCCATGGAAAAATTTCTTAAGTCGCAAGCTATGTAGTGTTGTTTAAGAAGCCTCAATGAAGCTATTTCAAAAAAAGCAGCTCATAAAAATCATTCGTCGAGAAATTTCGTCTGTTAACTCCAGCCCAAACCGTACTCTCTAGTCCACTTGGAATAGTGATCGGCCTTTGGAAAGATGACTACGGCCTGTGCTAGAGTTTAGATCCGATTTCGAATTATAATCACAAGAAATCAAATGAGCTACCATTTGGGCTCTGACAGACAAGTGAAGGATACTTGGTCAAAGTGGTCTTTCCTCACAAAATTTATGATGTTTTATAGAGCATCGAATGCTGATTTCAAACCTGCTTTTGCTATCTGCGAAGCCCTTCTGTGAGGGGAGTTATGGAAATTTTTTATGACAAAATTTGAAAGCGTCGCTACAACAAATCATTCAAAACTTTTGTCCGTGAGCTCAAATGGGGCCATAATTACTACCAAAGCGTTTCATGCATATATACCTTCAATCTAACAACTCATGTCAGTTATTACTCCTTTCAAGAGCAGGGAAGATCTCAAAACGTGTTTTTACCATAGCCAAATCTGGATTACCTCGAAAAATTCTTCGAATTCCTCCCAAAAGCGCCTTGCAGATAAAAAAAAGCAGATTCGGAATTAGCGTTCCATGCTTTTCAGGATACTTATAACTCATATGGAAACGCCACTTCAAACAAGTATCCTTCCCTTGTTAGTCTCATATCCACATAAGAAGTTTGGATGACTACAACTGAACACTGCATTTATCACCTTTGCTTACGTTTCCTGTAAGTACATACTCTTCAACATTTTGATTTGAACATGCTTCGCCTGCGTCATATATCAAATTCAAAAATATTGACTGAAAATGACTAAAATGATTTATCAAAGACGAATTTCAACAACTTTTAGTCAGATGAAAGTGAGGCTTGAATTCCTTACCGAAACCCATTTTTGGCTTGCAATCTCATTGCATTTCGACTGAGTCAACCTCCTAATGCATATCTATCAACCGCATTCTGGGATGAGAGTCCAGCAGATTAGTGAAAGAAGTCACAACCTGGTTGGAAACAGCTTCCTCTTCAAAAAAACTAACATCCTGTTCATACCGGGTTCAAACCGAAGCAGATCTTACAAAGTGAGGGGTTCATTTTTGAAAAATGAGAGGGCCAAAATGAGAATGGTCTTGAGAAGAAGTATGTCGTGAACTTTGTATAACAAACGAATAGAGAAATTCTCAATGTGTCAAATTTGGAACCGAAGTTTTCCTTTTTTAATTGGTACTTAGAAAAAGTGCCTGTTCATTTGCATAACACTTTGTTATCAGTATCTTGGTTCGTTGCGAGAAGTTGACGCAAAATCTCGTCTCAACCCCTAACTCTTCCCATTGCCAATTGTAGTAGACGCGCAAGGAAATTCAAATGTTTGGACTCATATATCAAAATCACTGAAATACCATTGGTTTTGATATGTGATTAGTGTGTCTCACTCTCCATGTTTAGCCGTTGCCTTTCAATCAACTTCAACGGCGAACTCGATCAAAGATAAAAAAGATAAAAGCCTAGATCTTTGTGTAACAATGCGTTTACAATTATAGATTAGCGGGCGAGACGACCTCTTGTGTATAGCGTTAGCCACGACGTTAAAAAAAACTATGAGGATGCTTTCTGCAAAGTCTCCAAAAATTGGAAATTTCAAAAAAAGGAAGCATGACGGTAGCCAAGAAAAATAATTCAACTTTTCTGAAAGTTCAGTCATTATTCTTACTGGGGAGTGAAAACAAGTCACCTGCGCAATCCTCTGACTTATGTAGCCTACCTTCAATTTCGCGTCGGGTAGGGGGAGGGCTACCGCAGCAATGATGCATCTTGTGTACATACTTTGTAAGTACGATAACTGCACAGCTCTTCCACTCGTTGCACGTTATAGAGTGCATTCAAAATTTTGAGAGCAAGAAACTCTGTTCCACACTTTAATACGTTTTCATTGGCTGAGAAGGGGGAAGGGTGTATGGGTCCACTATTTAGGATTATAGAATTCAAGGGTAACCTTCCTCAATGACTGGATTGACCTTATAAATTTTATGAACCGATTTGGCTGTTAAAAAAGTATGTAGAATTCACGATTGAAGGTACAGTCAAGTAGATTCTCCGCTCAATATAGTGTGCTTGCACAGTTTATGAAATGCGGTAAAAACTGTGCGTGAACAGGTAACTGCGCCAGCACTGCCGGCATTTTGCTCGCGCAATTGACCGGCGTCACGATCGAAGCTATTTCCTTACGAGCAAATTTTACCGCATTTCCTTTCTGTGCAAGCACACTATACTGAGCGGAAAATCTACTCGACTGTAGCATATATTTTGACTTACCAATAAAATTTGGACGAAATTTTCAGCGCGAAGACTCTTCATTTCAAAGGCTTTGATCCCTCTCCCAAGAAATTGCCAAAGCATTTTATTTCCCCTGAAGTCTACCTGTATCAAAAGTATACGGTAAGTGTAGTGTGTATACGGCGCGGTAACAACAGCTGACAACGATTCAAGTTGCTCAAAGCATCGCGCCAGCCCAGTGACGTAAACGTTTTTGGTTCTTTGGCTCTTGCTAACCATTAGCGCAAGTTACGACAATCTCATCCAAATACCGGGCATTCTCGGCATGACTTCCACCCAATTATCAAATCATCGAAGAAGTTCCGGGAGCGAAATCGCTCAGCCGTATATCATGCAGACGAGGTTGCAAATCGTGATTTGCATTTATCTCGACGTGTGTGAAAGTGAGCGCCATCGCGCTAGAGGGTGATTGTGGACAGGGACCGTAAATGCGGTCAAAACTCGGTTTCACCTCGGCAACGGAAAGAGACGAATGATGTGCGATTCGAGAAATCATCAGGGACAGGTGCATGCCGCCGATATGGGCTGAGATCGGGCTCATTTACATGGGAAAGTGAGAGGGGTAGAAAATATGTACAAGACAGGGGGGGGGGTCAAATATTTTTGCTGCATATTCCGAACATCGATAAAAGAAAGGAAAACGAAAGAAGAGGTTTATTAGAATCATCCATTGATCACATTTTGTATGAAAAATAAGAATCGCTCAAATAAAACACCTTTTCAAGTGTTTCCTACAAAATAATCGAATCACACTAACAAAATCATTTGTAAAAAATCAAGAATCTCAAAGACATTGTGGGACATTGCTTACGACCGCTGCACCTCAGACCCGAATAGTAGAGGGGTAGTGGATTAGAAAAAACACAAATATACAGGTTGCATACATTAATGTGATTTTGTTATTAAAACAATACTTCTTCCAAAAAACTCTCATAGGCTTTTCACTATGGCAAATTGAGCAATCAAGACTTGCACTTAGGTAAAACTTCCTCCACCTTAAGGTAATAGCTAGAATTTAAACCAAATTCCAAGCTCACTCTGTGAAATTTCTTCACTCCATGGAATAAAGGATTCATGGAACCATGCCTAAATTACTCAAGATGAGGCAGCACGCGTCCCCGATTGCCCATCGATATATTCCCGAAGACGAGTGATATGTTCTATGAAATATGTGAGCATCGTGGATTGAATGAGCCGTTTTGGGAGGCCGCCTTTCAAATCTGTCCTTATCAGCCATTCCAGAGCGGACTGCCCTGGAGTAGTGATATCTCCAACAGCTCGTATACATCCAGGACCATTTGCGCCTCTGAAAATTGAAGTAGGATATAGAGCAGCAGTTGAATTTATGCAAACAATCAACAGAGTTCGGAAATATCAAAAACAAACTGACCACATGTAATTTGTAAAGAAAAAACTGCCTTTGAATAAACAACAACTAAAGAAAACTCTGATAGTCAAAGAAATCCATGTATGGAAAGGCGTTAAAAGCTAAAGGCTTCTAAAATGTAGGGATGACTTGAGAGCGCAACGTGCCAAAACTTTACACTCAAGTACTTATTCAGGCTATACCGCATAAGATAGTAGGACCAAAACATACAAGTTTCGTTCAAAATGAGTAGTTTTTTTTACCTTGAGGGAAAATCTAAAAAAACGAGTTAACGAGAAGATGCGAAAGATTCGAATTTAATCTAGTTGATCTATAAACGGCGCCTCCATAACATTCTTTACTGCCGCAAAAAAGAACCAAACTAGCCTTCAAATAAAATCTAGTGTCACTTATTATATGAACATCATCACCGCACAAAACAGCCTTCGTATTTCGTACACGAGATCACTTCTATCAAAATAGTCATTTCAAGATGATGAATTGATTTCCCACCCCATTAGCACATTGTTGGAGTGCAGTAGTAGATGCAGTTTTCAGTCAACACTTTCTTAAGAAAGGTTTGGACAAACAACTTACATTCTAGACTAAGCGAGCAAAAAAATGACCGAAATTGAGTTTTGATTTTGATGTCCTTCAATCTCTTTGTTCCATAGGTTTACAATCTGTGCGCATTTCGGAAAGGTAATGGAGCTATGACCATTCGCTAATTATCTTGCGCAACGCGCACTTGTCGCAAGCGATGAAATGGTGACCTTAGCGGAGATGAACGGTTTACAACTTCAAGATCCTTGGGATTCGCAAATCTGTTTTAATAGAATGGAAAAGTGAAAAAGATATCTAGCAATTTTCAATTTAAAATGAGAAGAAATACCGAAAAAAAAAACAGAAAGATCGCTTAGACCTTGGAGAAAGTGAAAAATAAAATTTATAGTTAAGTCTACTTTCAAACAAAAATTCTGATCTCAAACAAAAAAGACCATGACCTCACGAAAAATAAAGCATTGTAAGATAATGAGACTGGATGGCATAAAACGGCTTGGCTGGGCGAAAGTTTTGCCTGGGCGGGTCTAGTGGAATCTCGTGAGAAGCAGCAAAAAAAACAAGTGACACCTATAGCCGTCATGTAAAAATAAAAAAACATACAGACATAGCTGTACTGAGTTACGGTTTGCACTTTGAAGTCGAGAAGGACAAAAATAGAAAATATTTAAAAATTTTCAAAAAGATGTAAAAACATAATCTATGGTAAAATAAATCCCTGCCTACCTTACGATCTTCTTGTTCGCATGTATCGGGCATGCTGCTGACTCAATGGAAACAAACACACCCGAGTATGTTTGCATGGCCGAATCGAAATGAATTCTTCGAACGTCGAAAAAATCACTGTAATGTGGCCCTTGAGCAAACTGCAAAACCTCCTCACAAATTAGGAATCTCACCGCGAAGCAACGTATCCCTTCAGAGCTGGAGCTGTCATCGAATAGTACAAGTCCGTCACTGAGTCTAATATGCTGATGACCTGAACAAAAAAAGAATGCGATTCAAATAGATATTAGGTCGCACTGAGACCACTTTCGCTTTTTTCCCCTCCAAATTCTGCGGAACAATGAATTACAAATGAAATTAGTAACATCCGATGCAGTTTCTTATGGTCCAGATGGATATCTCTATACTACAGTTCAACAAACGAGTTCTCAGAAAGGTGTCAAAAACTATGACCTAGGTTTTTTGCCACGGTCAAGTTTCAATATTTTTCCAACCAAGCACCCGATAATCAAGCAATTCCTAAGGAATTGGATACGAAACGACTTTTTCTTTCCATAACTTGCTTTTCGAAGTTTCTAGAATTATTTCTTTGATGCTATCCAATTCTTTGGCCAACTCATACTCATAGAACGACGTGGACCCAGGATTATTCAATGCAGCATTTTTCCTCTTTCCAGCAAATGTTTTTTTGTCTCCGATTCGTGGAGTCTTAGGGAATATCAACATAATTCATGTTTCTAAACTCCGCCCCATCGTAATCTACTGGAATTTCGATCTTCGACGCGTTTGCGTCTGAGGTGCTATGATGATTCTAATAACATTTCCACCAAAAAAAATCATGGCGAACTGGGAAGGGGAAAAATGTTTCGTATCCCGTAAGGTTTACTCTATCCATATGTTACTTTTTCTTCGAGAAATCAGTACAAAAAAGTTTATAAAATGGCGAAAGTTGACCTATGTAAGAGATCGTCGCTTTGAGTGCTTTTCTGAAGGTTCGTTCATTGAACCGTAGTATAACGATAATGATTTGAAAAGCATGAAAAAATGGCCACTAATTCCTTATACGAATCCTTGTTCCGTAAAATGTGGCGGTTGTTGAAAAAAGGAAATTACTTTTGAAACATTTAATATCAACAATTTGAGAACCACTTACCCTAGCTTCAACTAACTGCGTATTCCATCGCATTACGTCCTTCCAAGCAGCATCGAATAATACTTGAGGAGGACAGCCGAACTCCGCTCGAACATAATACGTTAGGTCAGGAGCTTGTAAAACCTAAAATCGGTCGTTAAAACATCTGGGTGAACGTCTCCCTCTCCCCATATACCATAGGGTCTTTCACTTTCAGTACTTTCCATTCTCCCATCCGAGCTTGTCGTAGAAGCGTATCGACCTTTTCAGATGCATCTCTCAATACCTGGAATGCAAGGAATTTGCGATAGCAGTTATCATAAAGAATTAGCTAACCTTCTCGCATGTATCACGCAGTTCCGCAGAGATTTGGCTACCTCTAAGAAGCGGACGATTTGCATGACTGCGAAGGGCTTCATCTTCTGTAATGAAGAATACTCGCAAAACAAGACAACGGTAGATTTAAAATATTATTTATGTTTATCTACACATAAGTGAGCCTACTGCCAACAATCATCAGTAAAGATAAAGCAAACACTAATTACTTTGAAAATCTCAAGCAAAGTACTTCAGGAACCTAATACTATTGTGTCTAATCTCTGACATTTCTATTTGCCATTGTTAGCTCGGAGTTTGACCATATATGTGTAGTTCAGAGTACGAAAACTTGGAAACCTACAACTGTAACTACCGTAAAAATAGCCTATCTATGAAGAACTCTTTCATGAATCTTAAATTTACATCTGACTGATGCGCAAAGATCTGCGAAAAAACGGAACAACTCTCCGAAAGAAGTTATGAGTGTTAGGATGTCCAAATTTGTCATGCTAAAAGTGGAACAAAATTAGTGAATGTGCCAAAACATGAAAGTAGATAACCAAATTTGTCTCAGTATGTTTACTACAAGAAAGGAACACAGCCCGTATGCAGCTCTTCGCTAATTTTAGGCCAATTGAGGCTTGACAAGGCCTTCAAAACTCATAATGAGCTATACCGCAGAAAAAGAAGATAGATTAGGAATCATCGATCAATTCTCTAAAAAGTCGTACTATGGAAAGACCACCTCAACTAAAAAGACTTCCTAGTAAGATGAACAACAAGCTTCCAGATGACACAGAATTGAAAAAAAAGATATCCAGTTTTGCAGTCCCGCAAATGAACTATTGCACAATGGAAAAAAAATCACTCAAACTAGTCTCTGCAGCAGCACATTAAAAAATCGACACGATTCCTATCATAAAGTTAAATTATTCTGAACTGATTTTGGCCAGATCTTTGGCTTTCAAAAATATTTCCCATTTTGGACGAAAAGCAAAGATAATAACTGGCAAACATTACCGCACTCATTAACTTCCGTTGTGGACTGCATGCCATACCAAAGCATGCAAGGAGACAAATGCAGATGGGAGCTGACGAGAACAAGGTATGTGAGGTGAAGTAGCGAAGAAGGGCAGTCTAGTGGATAAGTGCGGGAAGTGAAAGAATTGCTAATACCTAACAAAAAGGTCAACAATTTCCTTGATGCATAGGCTCTGAACGCGCAAATTCGGCATTGGAGATTCTATAGTCTACGGAAGATTTGTTGTGGCTTTTCTAGCAGCATTATGTACAGTTTTTATCATATCAAAACAATAATAATATACTGCTAGGTGCGGGAATGTAGTAAACATGGGAATTACCTGGAGTTTAACATAACAAAAAGAACAATGAAATGACGAGAACTTTTTCCACAAGATAAGGACAGATAGTGCATAAAAATAGATGAATAGAAATTAGAGAGTTACTCACATCTGTATAGAAAGAACCCCCAAGTCCATCATTACAGATTACAGCTAACTGAGCCAACAAAACCACAACAAATTATTATATTATGACGCTTTTTCTTCCGACAACATGAAAAAAGTTGAAGGGCACCTTTCATGCTACTCTCACTCACCTACCCGCATTTTTCGGGAGAGACGCCATGAAAAGATAATAAAAGATATTTGAACAAAACTTCCGTTAGCGCCTCTGAGTCCCCCCACACATTCAATAAAGTAGCATAGTACAAATACATTTTCAGATATTCGTATTTGCACTTTCTGAGAATTATCAGAAATCAATTTTATTCTAAGAACCCGAAAACAGCTTTTTCACGACCATATATCAACTACATTCCACCATTTTGTAAAATCATCTCTATGCAATTTCAAGTAAGTCAAAGTTTCCTCTCCACATAATTTCTGTCAAGAATAATGAGGTCTTTTAATCAGATAAATTCTCCTCCCAAACCCATTACCAATACTTCTGCAGGAACGGAAATGATCATAGACATTCACCCCATATTTGAACCCAACTATAACTTCCCCACAGACTAGCAGTTCTCTAGTGAAACGCAGACTGAAGCCAGTGAACAGGAAGAAAAGTCGTATGTAAACACTTATTCACTGGGCGAGCGTGGATACGAAAAAACGAAAACTGGTCTTGCTCGCAAAGCGGATATCTGGATAAACATTTCTCTATTTCATCGGATACCTTTGAAATTACATTTCCATCAAAATATGAGGAGAGAGAAAAAGAAAAAAAGGCAAATTGAAAAATTTCAGTTTGGCAGTGATTTGTGAGTGAAACTACAAACATTCTCCGTCTAAAACGGGAGAAGTGGAGAATATTCTCAAACTTCTTCTCTTTTCATTGATTTTACTCATGCTTCTTACATCATCTTCCCAACGTTTGTCTGACCTAACTTACACTAAAAATTGAGGAAGATTCAGCCGAATCGCCACTTTCACGCGACTTGGCGATTTGCCAGACTTCTACAAATTTATCATGTGCACTTCTCGTACGTATATTTGGGTAGCTTGTGTAAGCTGTTGCGAACAGAGCAAGTTCTGACCAAAGGCAGCGCATTAACGACGAATCACGAAGAGTCGCTGTTGTGCCAAATCGCGCAGCGACTGGAATCGCGCGAGGTATGCCTTAGGCCTTAGCCTTCAAGATAGAGTTTCCGAAATAATACTTATATTTAGAGACATACAATCAGATGCATGACAGGCATGCAATTCTAAGCTCTGCAAAAGCACCGCAGTTCCCAAGAACACAAAGTAAGCATACATGATTAAGAGAAAGCGTCAAGAGGAATTGAGAAAGAAGAAAAAAAGAACAAAAAATGTTCATAAGGTCTCATAAATAACCGCAAGTTCAATAAATTCATGTCATTTCCATAGAGACCATTAGAAAAGATGTCATCGACATAAAACGCTCACCAGAAGAAAACTCCATGGCACTCCGAAATTCATCCTCCGAGATATAGCGCGGAGTTTGATTCGGACGTGGCTCTCTAAATGAGTTGCCACGCACTGAGACGGACAAATCGTCACGAAGTGAGTCGTTGTGTTCGCCTGCAATTGACAAACATAAGTGCCACATACAGGCCCTCCTCTGCAGCATAAGCGCCTAGATTATGCGAATGACGCAAACCTACATCGTCGCTCGCCCGGCAACACCTTGAAGGGCATTAGCCAGAGTTCGAACCATGCGATAGAGAAAGACGCCAATACCAGCAGATATTGTGGAAGACCGCCTTGTTTGTGAGAAAAAAAGAAAAGAATCTGCAAAGAAGGGTTCATCAAGAAAGTAAACAAAGGTTTGAAAGTCCTCAAAGGACATGGCTATAGGAACGCACCTTTATAACTATGTACACAGTAGAAAGTGAAGTTGTGATGGCAACCGGCAGCCAATGTCGAACAACGAAGACGGCATATAAAAGAATGAGAACAACCTGGAAAGAGTGAAAACTCAGAACTTTGCTTTCAGTTCTAGGAGTAAAAGCTCATATCAACGTATACAAACGTATGAAGGTTCAAACAACTTTTCGAACAAAAAGTCCAGATTATTCCGCTCATCACAGAAGTCAAGAAACAAATGTCGCATAATGCAAACAGAAAATGTTAAATTCATAAGAAGATAGTACGGAAAAGCTCACCATACGCAAAACTGCGCAAAGAACTATGTCAAACAATGATATGCTCATGAACTTCGAATCAAAGATATTGATTTCCTGAAGAAACACCGTGGGCCAATCATCGCCTTTACTGACCTAAACATTTGAAAGTACTACAATGTGAAATTTCATGTTATCAACAAATGAACAGCTGAACAAAGTTGCACAAGTTCAGCACTGAGCCGCGCTGTTCGCCTCCCTTGAGCACAACCACATAGTAGTGGACAATTGCGAGCAACCTTATCTGTCCTATTATGATTGATTTCGATGTCACTTCCACCCCCGTTCCCGATCCTTTTGAGAAGGATGAAGATAAATCATTATGAAAAATAATCAAAGAAGGCTGTGCGCTCGTTGATTTCCGCAACTACCCGATAACGCAAAAGAGTCAATTTTCATCGCTAGCACCTACCAAAAAAGAGAGATGGAAGGGGGGGGGGAGTATTCTTTACAGGTTCCTACAACTATTTGCCGAATTTGAGAATATAGCCCCTAAAAAGATTCCATTTCTTGTTGCCCTATGGCTGGTAGGCACATTCTTGGCAAAAAAGAAAACAAAAGTAAAAAAACGAAAGCACAGCAACATACCGTGCAAAGCAGCCATAACAAAGTGGTAAGCGTAGCATCAAAGATCGAGATAATGATAAAGCGACGTCGATCCTTGCTGAGCCCAGGCGAATCACTACCAAGCAAAGGAGAACGGCCACTCATTTTTGCTGCAATGCCGCGTTTCCCTAGCCCAGGCACATCCTTCTCGCTAAAATAGGTCGAATCAGACTCTTGTGACAAGTGTCAAGTTTTGTTCATAAAAAGAAGTGGCGTATAAGTTTTTGTTCTTGATAAGATTGCTCTGCAATCAGCCTCTTGCAAAGCTGATCAATTTTCAATATGATTCCTATCACCAACTTTAAGCAGTTCAACCCAGCTTCGGTGGCTAATCAGAGTAAAAAAAGAATTTATGGAAATTTCGAACTCAATGGCAGCTTGCTAAGCAATATCAGCTAAAAAAATTTCCGTCGAGATATGTGCTCGACAACACGACTATACCTTAAGGTGAAAACGATTTAGTAGTAGTACAATTGTTTTTTTGTTTACAACAATGCTGCAATAGCTCTCGAATAAATAAATCAAAATAAACTTATACCCAAAAAGACTCCCACACTGAAAGGAAGAAAGGGGAGAGAGTGTGAAAAAAGCCTGAAAAGAACTATGGTGTAGAGCAAATCAAAGATGAAAATAAGACTAATCTCAGGAGTGTATATAACACGTACTATTTCTTACATCTAATTGATTGCGCTTAGGTTCCTGCATAATATTTTATTCTAAGCAGCTCGTACAAATTTATAACGATGTTAGTAACTCTCTTTTATCGCTGCGTATGCTTCGAAAAGACTAAAAATCGTGAAAACCACAAAGACATGCTGCTGACCATGACAGACAGAACTTGGATTCAATAATTCCGGTAAAAATACACTGTCAAATGATTAGTTGTAATGGTGTTCAGTTTCCTTCATAGATCTTCGACACTTACTGAGCGAGGTTCCTAGAGAACAGAATCACCGCAAGCTAGTTCTTATTTGAATTGGACTCAATTTTCAAGGTTTAAATGTGTTTGCCGACACAGACGAAAAGTGAATGGAAAACAAACTCTAAAGCGTAGAATTACTGAATTACGAGTCATCAGCGGTCAAAGAAGCTCAATGGGTCACTGAGCAAAACCGAAAACGGAGTTGCATTATCTGCAAACTTTTGTCATGATTTTCTCTCGGATACTCGCTTCTCATCGACGAGCATCTATTGATAAGAGAAAACAAACACAGCAGTTACGGGCAGTGAAGCTGCCACTTCAGCTGAACACTGAAAGATACGTGAAGAAGTTTGATACACTCGACCGCTCGGAAAATCTAGGGAAATGCGGCAACAATTTCAATTTTTAAGTATGAAGCTGATATCATAGGGACAGTCGTTTTTGTTTTTGTTGTTTTTAAACCATCTTTTGAAAGAATGAATATGCGACAAAACGTTGATAGACAACATCTTAAGCTGAAAAAAGTAGCGAAAATGATCAAATCTACTTCTTCCTAGCGATCCCAGAGATGACAAGCAAGTAAATAATGCCAATGTGATAAAACATCACGCAAGTAGCAAATGTCGAGAATTGATAAGAGATGCGAGAAGCACATCATGGAGGTTCCAGCTGAGCTATCGCTACCCTCATGGAACTTGACTGCTTGAAAATGACTCATGAGCAGAGTAACACTTCGTAACACCCTATAGTTGTTCAACCAGACCGGTTTGAAGGTAACACCGCCCTACTAAGTTTTCACTGGATCACGAGATCGGACATAAAAAAAATCCTGTAAACTAAAAGCTGAGAATGGAACAGAATCAACTCATGACATCGCTGAAAACCCTATTCGGTTCAATTCCAAGATATAATCAATTGTGCGATTGCAGACAGTGGTATCACGATAAGCATATGTGAATATCAAAAATACAACTATGTTGCTAGCGAACGAGAAAATGTCTGGTGCTACCAAATCTAAGATAAAATCTAACAGGGAGAGGATACTTAATCGAAAGCACCAATCCAGATGAGACATATATCGTTCTAAAGCGCTTAAATCGCTGATTCCAAATCTGTAGTTTCTAGCATCGGAGAGGTTTTGTAGAAGGAGTTATGCAGGGTGCTCTCCTCTAGGGTTTCTAAGCACTGTAGAGGAGTATCAGCTGATGCTAACTGACCCAATGGTAAATAACTTGAATGAAGATTACAGTAAAGATTATAATACTCATATTACTTTGGTTTTATTAACATTTCTAACTTCGATTAGCGCCAATATCATCAGAAATCTCGGGCATTAGGGCTTTGAAGCGATTTAGAAGCTCAATTTTGCAAAAATCGCGATAAAGTTGCATGCAAAGAGGATCTAAACCTTGACACTTTCCTTATCGAGGAAGTCACTTACCACTAGGCCAGTTGCCACCAGTTGGACTCCTCTACAGTGCTCATAGATAGGGGGAGAACTGCTAAAGGACGCCTTAATTCTAGAGGGAAACACCGTTCATAACTCGTTCTATAAAACCGCTCCGCTGCTAGAAATTACAGATTCGGAGTCAGCGTTTCAAGCGCTTTAGGACGATACATATATGTCTCAGTGCTTTCGACTAAGTATCCTCTCCTTGTAAGATACCTGTCAGGAATAAGAAAATTACTCCTCAAAAACTACAGAGATTTTCGAAACAACTCAACATCGCCATATCTTTACGAGATAAACATTATGGCATGGAGAATAAAAGATGCACAGAGCTCGGTATCTAGCGGTTCGAAAGATGATTTTGAATTACGCCACATTCATTTTTGCTGAGAATTTGGCTTAGAAATCTTGGCTTGTTTTTTAGAGTGACAATTATTGCATTTTGCGAGAGCGTAACATATTCGCCTGAGCTATTCTATGAGAAGTACGGATATTCGAGGCCGTACGCAAGTACATCCCTGTCGGGGACAAAAGGGATCTGTATTCTTCGTTTCTTGCATATGTCAGAATCTCTATCCTAATACTACTGCTCAGGTCATACATCTGCAGCAATGTGAAAATTCCACCTCCACTGAGCCACCAAGTTGGATCCTAAGAGTAGCTGGCAGTCATCCGCGATCCAAATCCGATCCGGATCGAATCGGGATTTGATAAGACTCGCGGTATGCGGTAACATTCCTTCGCTTGCTTTGGCGATCGCGCGATCGCTTAGGCTGCGTTCATACTAATCCGTATGTTCGGGAACTGTTCCAGCATAGCGGACCTGGGTGCTGAGTCGGAGCAGTTTCCGGATTTCGGGACCAGTATGAACGCAACCTTACACCACTCGCGCAGCTACCCCGATAATTGGGGATTAGCTCCGTATGCCCCTCAAAATATGGGCAACTACGACACCATTCCAAGGCTGCTGTCTTATTTGCTTCAAGTCTAACATGGGTAGCAGCTAACAAGGGAAGTCCGATTAGTCGAAGTGGCCTTTCCGAATGAATCATATACCATTTTGAAGAGCGTTAAACGTTGATTCAGAATCTGAATTTATTATCTGCCGAGCGCCTCTACATGCCGAGTTATGAATATTTTTTGGAGCGAAAAATGAACGCAGAATTCAAGTAAAATCAACTATTACGGTTTTTCAGTGCTCAAATAGAGCAACATGTAGTATGAGTGTTTTGGACAGAAGGTATCCTTTGAAATGGAGTGCTCTGATAACCAACATTGGACCATTTGAGCAATTCTGACGAATTTTGCTTTAATTACGCATTCAATTTTTTAACCCAAAAAACGTTCATAACTTGGCGTTCAGAGGCGCTCGGCAGATAACGAAGACAGATTCGGAATCAGCGTTTAACGCTCTTCAAAATAGTATATGACCCATTTGGAAAGGCCACTTCGACTGATCCGACCTCCCTTGTAAGCTCATTCCACAATATCGAAAAGGTCCGACTTCGCTTATTCTAAGTAAACGAATTGTGATTTTTTCTGTCAATTAATATTATATGGGCCACCCATGATAGAGTGATATAATTATGCAGATACATGATTTGTTTGAAAACTTTCGAAAAATGCACGCACCTATCCACTAAAGGCAGCAATGTCATTGGTACCAAATTAGACGAAGCCAGTGTCCAAAATTACCTCATATGAGCGACAGAGAAATTCAACATACGTGTTGGGTCGAGGGAACGTCGAGTACGTATTGATTGATGTTGGCAGTATTTTCGCTTCGAAAGGGCAACAATATTGACTCCAGAAGGAGTTCCTTATCAGACAGTAGTGATAGACATAAACCAAACATCCTCCGCTCGCTTCCATGAAACAAAATGCATGACAGTGACAGAGAGAATCAAACTATAGCAAATGAAGTTCTGGAATGGTCATTCAGTCAAGTTCCAAAACAAAGAATCTTGGAAGCTATCAAGGGGTCGATAATTGGAGTTTGAAAGCCAAGATGGCCAACAGGAAATGAGTTCATATTAATCAAGAAACTAGACGTTCTTCGACGTTCACGCGAGGATTTTATTTTCAGGAATAGCAGAGACAACATTCTCTTCTTTTCTTATAGTCACATGCTTCCTAAGAAAAGTACGCGACACCAATTATGACGAACGGAGCCGAAGAAGCTCAATGCGAATGCACTCAAATGCACCTCAAAAGTCATGATTCCCTGCCACTTCATTGTATGCAACGATGACGAATTCGGCTTGTAGTTGCGACCTTAGTCTATTAGTAAATGAACTTTATGTAGAGAAAGTTAGACCACTGCGCAGATGTTAGCTGCTTTTTCTCGGCCTAGGTTGGGAGAAAGGAATTCACTAGCGGAAACAGCAACAGAAAAAGGGACAATATAAAAACAGCAAGTTTTTTTTATCTTTTACGTGCTTACCCCACTTTTTTTACAAAGTGAGCAGACATACAAGCTGCAGACTTTGAATTGCGATTGCGAAAAACTGTTGTATGAGAGCACTATGCAAAAAACTGCGCTGAACCACTAACCTGACGAAGAAAAACGCTGAACCAATATGTGGACTTTTTTGAAAGTTTTTGGCTTCGAAAAATAGCTCATTGATGTTCAATATGTGAACAGACAGGTAATCAATCAAAACTGCCACATTTTGATGGAAATGTTTCCAAAAAGTCCACGAGGCCATTACATAGTGCGCGCAATGGTATTCTTCCACAATCAACACTGCTTAGTAGATTTCGAGATAGGACGATCCCGGAAGGAGGAATTCACTAGTGGAAACAGAAACAGAAAAAGGGACAATATAAAAACAGCAAGTTTTTTTTTATCTTTTTCGTGCTTACCCCACTTTTTTTACAAAGTGAGCAGACATACAAGCTGCAGACTTTGAATTGCGATTGCCAAAAACTGTTGTCTGAATAATGATCCTCTGTCATGAAATATGAAAAAATGGAGCAAGTACGTTTCTAAATGCCAGAAATCGCAATGGAGTGGGTTGGCGAAAGGTAACAGAATGACTCTGGTGAGTAAACAGAGACCTTAACACAGGGAAAACTTGTACAGTGGAAACGCTTATGCGGACATGCCATTTACAGGTTGTTGTATGACCCAAAGGAACCTACTGACAGGAGCTGGAAGGAGAACAACTTATAATGTGATAACAAACAGCGCAGATAACGGAAAGAAGACGAATCTAAAAGTGACCAAATAAAAATAGATACATTTGTCGCAAACGGTAGACGGGACATATAGTAACTCATAATAAAAAGCGTCTATCCTGATATAGTATGTTGCTTGTTATAGGCTTTCCAAACAGCTATCCATCGAGTAAATTTCAAATTACTCACCTAAGCGAACTATTGGAGGATGACCGGCAAACACGTCAGTGCGATCGAATCCAATCCAGCTGCCGGAACAAATTTCTGCACTGACGCGTCGAATCTTGTGTTTACGTACATTGCCTCAACTCAGACTTTCGTTGCGTACCAGCGGCGTACCTAAATGGCTTTGCGTACCAGCGGAGTGCGATTAACGTACCAACGGCGTTCCTTAATGCGCCCTACCAGCGGCGTACCGTCTTTTGGCGAGCGGCGTTCCATCAACCCGAGCAAGCGAGCGGCGTCCCATCACATAACCCCACGCTGTAAGCGTAGGCCGTACCCGTATGGGATACGACGCAGTGGTAGGGCCGCCTCAGCATTTTAGTGGTTAGCTAGCACTTCTCGGCACTTGACAAAAGGATTAAGATCGAGTTGTTGTTCCTATTGAGTGACCTGATAACACCTCAGCTGGGTGTTGTAGGGGTGGCCCACAATCCCCCGATTTCGATTCAATGAAGTCCATCGGTCGAAATAGCAGGAAATTTTGCGCTGATTTCGGCTTCATAAAATATGACGATATAGCAATTTTCGAACCAACTAATGCTGCAATTAGCACGTAATCAAAAATCGGGTAACATGCGGTCCGAAGGCGTACCCTCTTGGCGTACCAGCGGCGTACCATTCTCCTGCCAGCGGAGTTCCACAGCGTACCAGCGGCGTGCGACTGCCCTACCAGCGGCGTTCGCGTGCTGCGCTCAGAGGACAGTCGAACGCCGCTGGTACGCAACGAAAGTCGGAGAAGTTGCCACGTCTCTTGAGCCGAGGGTCGGAGATAGTGGTGGTTCGTGGAAAGCTGTTGTTTTCGGGTAATTTGAAGGTTTTCTTGTTCAGAGACGATGTATCCGCTTCTGCCCGCCCCACCATCCATGTATAGTTCACTCTCAGGTACGATTTCACCCATACAAATATGGTCTTATGCTGTTGTAGATCAATTAAGTCATCTACACATCGTTTTTAGACGGAAGTAGAGCTTAGGATTTGGGGGAAAGATTTTGTCTGAGTCCATAGTCTTCAAATGTACTTCTCAAACTTTCCGGGAAGCTCTTTGCAGCTTACTCTTTTCATGTCTCGCAGGCTTTAATTGGCAGACGGTTCTAACAAAAGCGAGAAACAGTGTCTATCACAACCAAAGTATGGAACAAAAGAGTCGTGCTGCGGTTTGCTTTCCTTATCTAGTTTATCAACACTCTCACAATCAAATTGAAGGCAAATAATGCATTTTTTGCTTGATGCGAAAAAAGCTTGATTTGGTATCATCTGCTACCAAAACGTTACGTCGAAATTTTGCATGAGTTTGCTGAAGCGAGCAATTGGGGAAGGCCATTTAAGAACAACGGCATAGAACAATTTATTCCTTTCGAAAGAATTTTTTTTTGTTGAGACAGCAACTCCCATCGCCTTAAAGATAATATTTTATTGCACATTTAGATAGCTAATGATCTAGATTAGATGCATCAGAAAAGCAGACTTCTGAGCTGTAAAGATGGAAGTTAGCGTTAGGGTAGTAGATGTCAGGCGGTGCTATGCCCAATCAGAACATCATCTTCGATGCGTTTTGTTTGAGTTTTATGGTTCGTAACTTTGTGAGATCACTTCATGTATAGTCCAAGGATAATGGCTATCTTTTAGTCTTTGACGAAGCACTCCAGTTGACTATTGCAGAAGCGATCTCAATCGATCAGGTATTTCTGAACACTCTCCAACGACTCCGGGGCTGAACCGCGCCGCGCGTGCACGCGGCCTTTTGTCTGCGACAGAATAGCTTAATCATTTTCTTTCGCGCTAAACTGGTAGTGGAGAAGATGAATGCCGAAAAGTCCCAAAACTATAGCAAGAAAATCCTCACTTTTGCTATTCTTGCGTTTTTTCTAGAGTCGACGGTATTGTCCAGCGCAGATGTGAAACCAGAGACGGTTTATACATTTTTTGAAGCTTCTGATGATTTCCTGCAGTTTCTTGCAAGTAGGTTTTTTAGTGATCGTACACTTCCATTTTCCAAGTGAGTTTGAAACCTGTAGGTTTTAGTCAGTGATCTTTACCTCGTTGCAAAAAATTTAACGTATTTAGGCTTTGCTTAATTTTTTGGGCGAATGTCGTTGTTATGAAATAAGCGAAACATTTTGCTCAGTTTTCCGCAAATGTAACTGAATTTTTATAAAGCTCGCTCCGGAATGCATGAGATTCTGCTATTCGAGGACACTCTCAATATCGACATAATGCTAGAGAAGAAAGGATTTGGCATCACTCATTCGCCAGATGTAAATGTGAAGCCAATCGAAATGGGTCTGAGGAAGCTTTTCTATGACGTAGAGTTTACTAAGTGAGGAAGCTTACAAATTTGCAGAAATGTTAGGTAGTAATGTATTTGTAGATGTCTTCGCTTATCTACACTGCGAGCGCGATGTCCTGTTTCACAAGAGATGACGTTGACGCCAGCGCAGTATGCCCTTCTTCACGAAGTAAAGCTGGCTGTCACTCGTAATGCTGGATTGGCAGATATTCTGGTAAGGTTCCAGATTTGGTTTGGGAGTAAATCTCGATCATTGCCGGTCATATTTTGAAACATATGTCCCTTTTCTGTTGTCAGCATTAATTTCACCTTCATTTTTGCGTAGATGTGGTTATCCTCAGACATTTTGCGCCTGCTTAAGCAACTGCGAGCGCCTACCAGGGGAATCTATGTAAACGTGCGATAGATTTTCACTGCTTGCCAGATAGGCCCAAAGTACAGTTTGCTCCAATCGGGATCAGGCCGAAGCGTCGGCATAAATTTGCGCGCTCGCAGCGCTAGCGGTCTGCGCTGCATATGCGCGCTGTCGGAGAGAGCCAAAGGATTGAAGAGAGAGCAGAGAAGCAGGCCGTGGGCGTGACCGCGAGACCCTAGCGACGCGGGCTCCCGCCATGCCAATTTTGACCTGGTTAGGATTGGGGCAGACTGTATGCCTCACGCGATTTCAGTCGCCCGCAATCTGGCAACTGTCAAATTCTTGGTGCATGTAACTTCCGCAGATTGAAGATAAACCTTATTTTCTTTATATATAGAATGCGTTTATGATGATTTATACAATTCGAGTATTGCCAAATCGTGACGCGACTGAAATGCAGGTGTACTTGAGGCCATACCGCCCGGCAAACCTAGCGAACACCTGTTCCATCTCTTTCTGCCTTGCATAATTATAGTCTAGCTCTCCTTTTTTCTGTTACCGTAGCGGTGCCTAATCCAACTAGAGCTTCAAACAAGCTCACAAATTTCGTCCATTTACAAGTATGCAGTGTTCCGTTCTGCCTTCTCCTGGTTATCCCACTTTGAAGGCACCGTCCACCCAAAATGGAGGTTGGCGAGATTACGATGGCATACTAGTGTGGGCCCCCACACTATCAAATCCTCAAGCTTCGCCAAAAGACTGCTTCTGGAGCGAGGAATCCGCTCCAGAAGCAGTCTTTTGGAAAGTGGAAGTAGCAAAGTAGGCGGGCGACCATGGTCGCCTTGCCCACTTGCATGCTTTATCTCGCTTGAGCTTGTTGCAGAGGGTTCTCGAAACAGGGATTTTTGGGGGGTTTTGTGGATTTTCGACTCCATATTCGGAATCAGGGCTTTCAGAAGGCCTGAAGGCGACAAAACATTGAATTCGAGATTTTGGGTGAACTGTGCCTTCAAAGGCATTGTCCAGGTCAACTGAAGTGGTGAGATTTTGACGCATTGCGGGAGCACGGCTTCTGACAGATGCAACAAGTTCAAGTCCGACGAAAAAAGTGGATTCTGCAGCTAGAAAATCGCTTCGGAAAAAAGGGGCGGTCCGCCAATCCCGCCTCCTTGACAAGTTTTGATGTGACGAATTCTGTAGATCTAATGTATTAACCACGCACAAGCTTGTCAAAGAGGCGGATATGGAGGATTGCCCCTTTTCTTCGAAGCGATTTTCTCGCTTCAGAATCCGCCTTTTTCAATCGGACTTGAACTGTTGCATCAGTCAGGAGCCGTGCCTCCCGCTTTGTGTCAAAATCTCACCACTCTCCGGTTGACCTGGACAATGCCTTTAAGGGAAGCTTAGCCCTGACAAGGATATGATACGTCCCGCCCAGTGGCGTACCCAGGATTTCGGCTCGGGGGGGGGGCGCGACAAAAAAATTTTTGCTAATGAAGGTGCGTGGCGTCAGCCACGCAGTCCGAAAATTTTTTTGGATGTTTCCAAAAATTTTTCCGGGCCCCTGACCCCAAAATTGCAGAAAAAGGGTGCGTGGCGGCAGCCACGCCCCCGAAAAAAATTTTTTTTACGAGGCTAATTTGAATTTTTAAAAATTTTTGAAAATTATTCTAATTATTTACAAGTAAAAACAAATCCCTCTGCACATTTTAATAACACATTTAAAACTTTCAAAAATTTCGCGACCCATTCTCGGGGGGCGCCCCCCCTCGGTACGCCACTGTTCCCGCCGTGTGACTAGAGCAGAAGCTCATGATATTTCTCTGACAACATTCAAATTTCAAATTTGTGATAGAACTCAATATCTTTAAGCATACTGTATGCTACACAGATGGACTACCATGGTCGCGCATGCATGTTCGGTTCGCCTGAAAGCATTGTTGCTGCTAGATTGGAGGTGAAGCGCTTGTTCAGTGAGAACGGAATGGGGCCATTCGAGTTTTGCGAGGCAAATCCGAGTTTCGACACAAGTTAGTTCACTTTTTATATAAATGTATGTTGTCATGAAAATTTTATCTAACAAGAATAAATCTAGATAACAACAGAGTGCCCAGCGTTGATGACGAATGCCCCTCATTGGCACAGGATAATGAAGATTGGGTGAGTGTTTGATTCTAATCGAGATGGATAGTCATAATATACCAGTGGTGCCCCGTGTGCCATCGCCTTGGCAAGAAAATTTTTGTTCATGAATAAATTATTTGCGTTACTGATTGGGGGTGCCTTGAGGGCTTCATCATCAGTTTCCACATGGGCAACTTATGAATCCCATGTGAATGTATTGAATTTTATTTTACCATATTGAACTTTCTGGTCTAGATTGTACTTGAATTTGGAGGGATGTTTGCTAATGCAATCTTTTGTAGTATTAAAATCCCGTTAATCTACCTGCTTAGGCAACGGACGTATCTAGGACTCCGATTCCGTCGGTGGAGACCATTGAAAGAAGTACCTTGGAAAACACTAACACACGGTCATCTTCGGCAAGTTATTCTTACTTTTGTGGTCAGACAGTATTTGAGTTTTGTTCCAGGTAGGTCAAATTCAGTCTACTGATCAGTCAGGTTCATCCAACTCATTCGCTCATGGGTCACAACGCACTTCATCTGATCAAGTCTCAGCGGGACCTTCACCTGTGGAAGTTCAGAAACAGAGGAAAAGCATCAGGTTCCTCTTAAACATAGTAGATGCACCACGACTAATTGGTCCTCGTGGTGCAAATAAACGACGCATAGAACAGCTGACTGGATGCAGTATCTTGGTAAGCTTCTAATATTGTGACATTTCTCTTGCACGGATAAAATGTAAGACTTTCGTGCAAAGTAGTCAAAATGATAAGATTATTACATTAAAAAACGGAGAATATCAAATCCTGTGATGAACAAGATTTTTTATGCGGCCTGACTGGCGAGGATTTTGATCATTTTTGCATGGAACGGCGATACAGAGGTGGCGATCCCGGAAACTTTTCGAGAGGGTATGGGGGGGGGGGAGGAGGAAGAGACGAAAATTTTTCCAATCCTTTTTTGCACTGTTTTGGCAACCACATTCGCAAAAAAAACTACACAGGCTATTTCAATTTTATAAAATTGAAAAACAAAAACATATTGGCATATATTGCCGGCATATTTTATCGCTCAAGGAAATTTCGCTGAGCGGGCGTTCATCATTGCCATTAGCCATACATATGGTTGCGCAGGTGACTTGCTTCTATCTTGTGAACGACTAGAGTTTTTTTCAAGTTTTCGAAATTAAATCTGCTTAGGAGAAAATTTTTTGGGGCGTGATGATTGCCACCGGGCCAAATTTTTTTGGATTTCAGGATTATATATCTACAGGAGATCTCGGGGTTATATATCTACAGGAGATCTTGGGAGCACGCCGGGAAGTTCCGGATGGCTTTTGTTGCGCCCTCCCCTCCCCCTCCCCGAAAAAAATTTGTTCGACCCACTGCTACAAGCCGATGATGAAACAAAACATTTCGACAAAAGGGCAGTGTTATGGCAAATGTGCTTCTAGTTTCATAATCTTCCGAACCTTTGGATGAGCTAGGTTTGATATTTTACTTATGGAATGAACAGAATAAGGCGCCAACGACTAAACACCACCTCCTCCTTCTTGATTCACTGAAAGGACAGTCATTGTCATTGCGTATTGGTTTTTCCTACCGTTTGCATTCCAGCCTCAACATAACGTGGATTGCTCCGCCACTTTGCGTACGCATCCTTTGGCGTGGCGTGAGAAAAGAAATGTGGCGCAGACATCTTGCGTTGTTTCTGTGGCCACCTCCTAGCCACGCCACGCCACGCCAAACGAGCGTCCGCAACGTGGTGCAAGCCCAAAGCGATGCGGCGCCTCACTAATCCACGTCATGTTGAGGCTGGAAACATACGGTAGGAAAGACCAATGCGTATTGAAAAAGATTGTTGCTGTTCAGCTCCATACGGAGAAAAAGGAGTTTGGAGAGTTTCCTGTGGAGATTTTTGCGCCGTCGACTAGACGATGCGAAACAGCCCGCCAGTACATTTTGTCTTTTTTGTCTGGTGGTCAAGGAACTGTCGACGAAGTGGCGGCGAAGTTATCAGGATCAAAGGGCAAAGAGGTGGGGGTAAAACAAGGAAGTATTAGGTTGGCCCGAAAGTTCGTTCGCAATTTCAAAAGTCATAATTTTTAGCACCTCGGTGGAATTCTTTCAAATAATTTTTGTTCTAAATTAGAAAGCATCTCCTTTATAGCAATACCTTCGCGTAAATTGGTAAGCCAGGATTCGAGAGTTGAGCAGTTGAATAAAATTACTCAAATTTGGCAGTTTTCAGCAAGGGACACGAAAAATTCTGAAAGTATTTTTGCTTGTTAGAGGAAATTATGCGCATTACTATGGCACCTTTTTCATGAAATGAAAAATGTGAGTTAGAAACACCTGACATAATCTCTTCATTTGCTTCTAACTGTCGCATTTTCTCGTTTCAATGCATGAAGGTTCTATAGTGCCACTCGAACTAATTTACTGCGACGGTACTGCTATAAAGAGGATATTTTAGTTGAACAAATTGTTTGAAAGGATTCCATGAAATGTTAAAAAGTTAAAATTTTTCAAAAATTGGCAAACAACTTTCGAGCCAACTTAGCATATTATTTGCTTTACATAACAATGTCTTCAGGTACGCGTTCGCCCAAAAATACACCTTGATATCAGTCCGAAAAAGCTGCAGAAGAAGCACACCGATTGACTCTAATTATTTTGCATTTGTCTACTCGGTGCATCCGTTTTTCAATCGCACCACCTGTTGAAATCATCTTCTGTGATCTTGAGACATGATTTTATAGATTTCTATGGTTTTACTGCGATTTAGTTTTATAGTCTTGTATCTTTTGTTCACTGTGATGTTACATTCTTTGTGTTATGCACCTTCTCATCTTCAATTCATATGTGAATCGAAGATTCCTGAGCTGTGTCATTCTGTGAGACTTCCCAGACTGTGAATGACGTCATCAGTGTACATGTCTCTGATAGATTTTTCTGTGATAAACAGCTCATGCGCAGAAAAAAATTCTTATCTATGGATTGGACCACCTTTATACCTCACATTATGCAAGTATTTCAACGACGTACAGATAATGTCTGATGCAACGAATTCACTAATCTGTGTTCCTTTCATTCCCTGTTCCACGTAACTCTTGTCTGCTTGGGTGGTGGCACAGAAAATTTCGTAAACAATAATTAAGGAAGTGTGCGTGAGCAACTCGGTGAAATTTTAGAAGTCAAATACAGAAGGTGTCGCTCAACTGAATCGAATTCTGCGAGGCAGCCTGGTCTGGATCCTTCACCTCTTGTGATTATGTTCTGGCCATTTTTCTACGCTTAATTAACGATTAAAGCTTTGTGAGTCCTTTCCCACACTCAGGCATGGGAAAATGATCAGACGACACGTAGTATGTACGCGATCGCGGTGCAAAGTTCAAGCGAGGCTGCCGCGCGGGACAGCCGCTCGAGTCGGGCTTACTCCAATTAGGACAGAAGGACCTGTCTACACACAGTAAGCGCGGTATCTCTCGTCTCGCGTGCTTAAAGGCAGTGTCCAAGCTAAATCTAACCCCTTCCGATTAGGGTCGATCCTGAATGTAGGCCCCCCACGAGAGGGGCATCTATGTTGGTCCGGTCCTCTAATGTTGTCTCTGAATGGAAATAAGGGGCCTGGAGCAGGCAAAGTGCTACCAGGCCCCGCCCAGATCCTATCAGACTTCGCCCACCCATGTACTGAAAGCCGCCCGCGCACTCAAGAGAGGCTCCTCAGAAGTCGGGTTTTTTGGGTCTTTGATTTGAACTATTTGAATCATAACTTTAACCAGGGCCACGGAAAAACCCCTGAATGGCAAAAATGGGAGGCAAAATCTCTAGTGGATGCTGCCTTTAGAGGCACCGTCCACTCAGATTCTCGGATTCTAGGTTTTTGTCGTTTCAGGGCCTTCACATGTCCCTGATTCCGAATATGAAGGAGAATCCGCAAAAACCCCGACAATCTCCGTTCCGGAGAACCCACAGGCCGGCTTTCCGGGACGGTGATTGGATGGGGCGCGCACGGACGGGCGAGCATGAATGCGGAGAGCGGTGCCGTCTGGGGGTCCTCGTGCATCTTCGTTATTCCGGAGCGATTTTGTCGCTTCCGAAGCGAAATTTTGCGCCGCGAGTTGACTGGCTTGACGGGGAATCTTACTATCGTATGCTGTCAAAAGCATAAGACCCTCAACCTGCGGTGAACGGTGCTTTGGAAAGACGTCCTTCCCCGAATCTACAGGGCTTTTCAACATAAGAGTCATAGCCTCCGCTTGCGCGCGGCTCCTCCAACGCGGCCGCCTCGCTCAGGCCGCGCGCGGCGTTTGCTGCGCATCGCCCGGATTTCGCCAAGCTTCAGTCGACGCGCAGCCTGGTGCCACGAACGCTGCGCGGACCTAAGCGTGGCGGCCGAGCGGGGCGGCTGTGACACTCAGGTTGTAAAGCCCTGTACTCTGCTTGTTTTCTCTTTGATAGACGGCTGCAGATTGCGGTCACAATATTTGCTTCATCAGAAAAGTTCTCACCGTCTTTCCAGAAGGAATAGTGGGATGCTCGGTGTGCGAAATGGCGCTCTTAGTTACAAATTATTCTTCTATGGCAGGCGCCAGACTTACCCGCTTAAAGGCAGTGGCTCGGAAAAACTAGACATCCCGTAATTTTGATATGGAAGGTTGCTTGCATCCCATCCATGCATCATAACAGAGCAGGTCCGAGCGCACTACATGCTGTGCCTGCCTAGAAAGCTGCCCCTAAACCCGTGCGCGCAAACCTCTCTTACACGCTCTCGAACGAGCTTGCAGTCCCGCTGTCACCTTCAGCGGCGGCACGCCGTAATGTTATGAACATGAGGGTTTCTCCAACGATTCTACGTCTCTAACCATGGCGGGGAAGTGCACTCGTCCAACTTCGCAATGAGAACCCTTGGAAAATGTTGGTTTTCGACATTTTCGTGCTCTTCAAGGTGTAGTTTCGAAACCAGCGCGTCAACTACCCCAGGTAAGCGAAAAAATCTAGGTCGAGGATTTGTCGAGCCACTGCCTTTAATTACTTGATCACTTCGCCATTGGTCAAATCGCAAATCTATACTACATGGGTAGCGGAATCACGTACAGCCTACCGCAATCCAAACAGACCAAAAACATGGTGGGAGTCCGCGTCGCTAGGGTTTTGCGTCACGCCTACGGCCTGCTTGCCTCTCTCTCTTCGATCTCTTCGCTTTCTCTGACAGTGATATGCAGCGCAAACCTCTAGCACTGTGAGCGCGAAATTTCAGCCTATGGTTCGGCCTAAACCCCTTTAGGGTAGACTATAGGCGTATAAAAATACATAATGGACTCCAAAGACAATCACAAACGCGCCTTGCCATAGACACTTCAAAATAAAACTACATCACAGGCACATCAATGACGAAGATGCCCCAATGACTAGACGCACCATACACACGAATACACAGTGCACCCACACCATAGGCGGACCGTACACACACTATAGACTCACCGCAAAACACTAATGCTAACACCACAAACGACATCATGGGTACGCTCAGACAAATGCGCTAAAAACAGACCAAATCTTTCAAGATATAGGTACACCGTAGGTACATCAAACACACCAAATACACGCATTATATCTTATATATAAAGCTGAATGTCTGTTTGTCGTCTGTCTGTATGTCTGTCTCTATGTCTGTCTGTACGTATGTTCCGAACAGAAAATTCCATTTCTGAACCGATCCGGACCAAACTTGGCACACATACACTACGGGCCCCGGCGGGTGTCATAGGCTACTTTTCGTCATCGATCGATAAAATCGACATCGATCGATAACGAAAAGTGGACTGTGACACCCGCCGGGGCCCGAAGTGTATGTGTGCCAAGTTTGGTCCGGATCGGTTCAGAAATGGAATTTTCCATTCGGAACATACGGCGGAGCCGGGTAAGCCAGCTAGTACACCATAAACCCACCAGGCAGCCAAGGCACACTACAGACAGACAATGACACAGTAAACACTTAACAAGGGAAGTACTATCAATGGCCGTGGCCTTTTGATATGAGATGCATATCCTCTGAAGCAGCTTCGAACGCTGATTTCAAATCTGCTTTCCGTTTCTGCGGAACGGTCTTCTGAAGAGAGTTATGATAGCCTGAACATTCTATTTTGGGGGCGCCCCTTGAGTTTGAGGGCGCTGCTATGTGCATTGGTGGTGCAGTAATGTAGTGGCTAGTTGCTGACATTGAAGATGAAAGGTCGATGGTTCGAATACTGTGCAGAGCAAACTATTTTGCTTATTGAAGTCTGAAAGCACTCTAAATCGCCTGCAGACACTTACTGTATTGCCTTTGGCATAAGTGAACTAGAAAATCAATTTTCTGGCAAAACTGCCTGTAGTGAGAGTCTGAAGTTCTATTTGACTATCTTACTATCGTCGACTCTAAAAATCGTGACTACGGTCTGCAGTGCGGCCAGTGCGCGCCGCACGGCACTGCCGCTTTATCGTAGGGCAATCTTGCTTCTCTGCAGTGTAGGCTCCCTGCGGTAGCCATGAAAGTTCCTGCAAACAAAAAAGATGCAAAAAGAAAAAGAAGAACCACAAGAACTCACCTTCTCCACGTAATTTGGGCGAATCACTAGGTGGCAGTGCCGTGCGGCGCGCACTGGCCGCACTGCAGACCGTCGTCACGATTTTTAGAGTCGACGATAGTAAAACATGACCAAACATGGCGTAGCACGTTTGTCACCATATAAAGCTCAAAAAATGCACACTGTCGTTAGTCGAAAAGATGTTCTCTCCTGTTCGTGCTAAGGCATTACAGTAAGTGTCTGTAGACGATCAGGAGTGCTTTTAAACTCAAATTCAAAATGCAAAATGGCTCGCTCTCTACCGGATTTGAACCATCAACCTCTCGCAATCAATGTCAGCAACTAACCATTACATTACTGCACCATCAACGCACATAGCAACGCCCTCAAGTTCAAGGGGCGCCCCCAAAATAGATGTTCAGGCTTCCATAACTCTCTTCAGAAGAGCGTTCCGCAGAAGAGGAAGGCAGATTTCAAATCAGCGTTCGAAGCTGCTTCAGATGATATGCATCTCATATCAAACAGCCACGGCCATTGAAAGTACTTCCCTCGTAAGTAGCAGGGTCACAACAGACACTAGCCATATACGCAGACAATCTAGACACGTTATTCAGATGTTAAATAGGAGAGCTGAGCTGAGAAGCAGTGTTTAGCTTTATATGCGCACTAGCTTGCTTACCCGGCTCCGCTCGGCCCTTTCAAAACACTGTAATAAAGGTCTCATCCCTATCCCTGTACAGCCTTTCCCTGTACCCACTTTTACATTTCATTTCCCGTTCCCTGTGTTGTTTTCGAAATCAGCATGCCCACTTATTCAGGCAATTGCTGCACGGGCCGGTCGCCCAATGGGCATCGCTGTTGAGCCGCGGCACCTAAATATCAGCCTTACATGCACCAGGACCAGCAGCGGCCCACAGGTGTGAGCTGGCGACCCGCGCACATAGTTGATGCCATTTGACAGTGGCCCGCACGCCTATGTATGCTCATAATTTCACTGGCGGTCCGCGCACCCATACATACGCATGCCGAAATTAACAGCGACCGCTCATCCATATGAATTAACGCACGTTGTAAGCACAAGGGTTACTCGCGTGAGATACGACGCAGTAAAAGGGAAGCCATCGGAGCTTGCAGGAGGTGTAACACTTGCATTTGGCTGACAACAGGATTGCTTATGAGTTGACCATTGATGGGGTTCCAAATAATCTCGTGTAGTTCGATAAGTAGTGGGAAGCAGGAACGATTTCTACCATTCTTGATTTCACATGGGCTGTATTCACATTTGAAGTGATCCGCGCATGCAAGTGCAGCCAAGCAGAAACCCAACCCTAGGGTGACCCTGCTATGCTAGCGCGGGCCAGCAGGGCAAAGGAGGGGTGTAGGCCCGAACCCGCTCTAATCGCGATGATAGTGATAGGTCAGCCCGCCGCAAAGGTCACGCTGTGATTGGCTGCCGCGCCAAAGCGAGCAGTTGACCCGTCCAGTCGCGTCGCAGTTTCGGACGAGTTTCGTCGTCAGCTTACCGCGTGCACTTACACTCATACACCACGAAAGACGCCACAAGAAGACCGCGGCCTACACTAAAAGCAGACAAAATTCAGAAAAGTTTCATTAACCACGAAAATTTCCAATAAATGTAGCTGGCAGCTAGCATTTGACTTAATCTGCTATTTCAGTGATTGTATGAGGATTTGGAAATCACTGACAAAATGACTATGTTTTCATCATCCGCGAACCCCTCTTTTTGCAAATCTTGCCTAGTTTTCCCATTTTACAATTCGGAAACTCACATGCTGTTCTGTCTATACCTACACGTAAACTGCAAGAACTGAAGACTCTGCTTCAATGTAGGAATGCCAGTTTAACTAAAAGAATGGCGAGAAAGAATGCTTTCGACATATTCCCACCGAGATCATGTTAAGAAACTTAACATGATCTCGATGATGATGATGTTAAAAAGAAAGAAAAATTGAGATACAGACCCTGCGTCTGTGCAAACTCACAGATTCCAGAAGAAAAACCGTGCAATATTTTTGTCTTGCTGCATAAGAACAATGACTATCAAACGCATTCTCCAAAACGAGATTGTCTAGCACTCTCAACAGGGTTCATGGTTTCAAAAATTCATGACAACCTGTATAAAGGCCTAGAGCTTCATATGACAAGATCTTTATAACAGACACTTCTTTGACAGTCGGACTGTTTCTGATTAGCTGAGCACTTTAGCAAAAGAACAGGTCTGCAGTCTAATGCACAAGGGAGATTATAATAATGACTATAAAACAAAAAAGCTAAGAAATAAAGAGAACAATAATTGCAGGTACTACTTTTAAAAGGCAACAACTGTCCAAGACCAGATTCTTTGCTCATTTTAGAGGATGAAAGAGGAAAATTATGCTAATATGTTGAAACAATCCAAAAGTACCTACGATGAACGTCAAGGCGTTTTTTAATGATGAAAAGACGAACAAAATCAAGATAGAATTTACTAAAGTGCTCCACTGGCAATAAAATACTACTTACCTTTGTGAAAGTATTCGATTTCGAATTAGTGACTAGTATTACAGCTAAAGGCAGCAGATAGCAGAACTAGGGGCAGCAGATAGCAGAACTAGGGGGGGGGGGGGGAACAGCGAATAGTCCGCAAGAAAAGCTCGATGGGTTCTAGTTGTAGATATGTTACTCATTCGAAGAGAGCAACTTTCGAAATTGGGAAACGACTCGTCCGCGTCAAACGCAGCGCGAGCGCTCGCGCCCCAGATATTGAATTACTGTAGCGCACTGTGGGTTCAGAAGGGCCGTCTCCCCAAAGGAGACATCGTAATACAGGCTGGCCCGCTCCGGATGACAGTGTCGCTGCACACACTGGAACCATCGCTAGTCCGCGCTAGCATGGCAGGACAAGGCCCGGAACGGGTTTTCGCCCAGCCGGCCATGAGCGCGCGGGTGGCCGCAAAAAATGTCTGAGTACCCCCCGCCAACTCCCAGCCCTTCAGCTCAAATTTTGAAAAAATCGATAAAATTAATAGGTGATACCAAAAACTGATATTGTATTCGTAATCAGCATGCTCGATTACCCCCTGTGCCAACTCCCAGCCCTGTAGCTCAAACTTTGCAAAAAATCGATAAAATCAATAAAAGTAATGGATAATTCTGGAAATAATATTGTATTCGGAATCGCCATGCTCGCCTACCCCCTGTGCTAACTCCCAGCCCTGTAGCTCAAACTTTGCAAAAAATCGATAAAATCGACAAAAGTAATCGATAATTTTGGAAACTAATATTGTATTCGGAATCAGCGTGCTCACTCACCCCCTGTGCCAACTCCCAGCCCCGTAGGTGAACTCTGCAAAAAAATCGATAAAAATCAATAAAATCGATATCGGTCGATAAAGAAAAGTAGCCTCTGACACACTCCCTGCCCCGAAGTATATGTGTGCCAAGTTTGGTCCAAATGGGTTCAGAAATAAAAATTTCTATTCCGCACATATGTACACACATACAGACAGACATTCAGCTTCATATATAAGATGTAGCTCTACAACTTTTAGACTCGGACAAACCGTGCCGATGGACGACGGCATATATTGTCAGCTGTGGTGATGGAGTTTTTTCAAGAGTTGCAGAAGTGTCGAGTGCCCGTTCATGCACGAATAGGTTTCGCTCAGGCTGTTGCGAGCTTCTACAACTTCATAAACGTTTACATCGACGCTGGTAAGAGGCAACAGTCGATATAGCTTCCGATTTTAACTATGTCCGTCCGCAACTGCTAGCACATTCCGCCTGCCAGCAGTAGCTCAAGCCCGCAGCCGCATCTCACACGTGTTAGAAAGGCTACGCAATGAGTTCAAATCTCTCTCTTCCTACCGAGCGGTCAGACAAGCGCCAGCTAAGGTTCTTTCAGTATTGCTTCATACCAAATGTGCCATTAACGTACTTTAGGAGCATGAGCCCTACGTAGTCGGCCTTGCTTTAGCCACGCACAGGGACATCTTGGCGACACTTCGATGCATTTACAGCAAATTCGGAAGAACTGAATCCATAAGCAGACAGCATTACAACTACTTCTTGGAGTGAAAAAACTGTGATCAAAGACCCCAAAGTGATATATTTCCTTTAGGACGCCGATGTTCTACATTATTCAATGCAACAGCCCGCAACGAAGTAGTGTATAAAACTATATTTGGGAGCATCGTCGACTTTAGTGACATAGGACATGCTCAAACTGGCTTGCGACGCATCGAATTGGACGTGGATGGTGGTAAAGAAGAACTTTTTGTACGTTTTTTATCAGCTAGTCAAAAAGAAGAATTGATAAGGGCCTAAATATTCAGGTAGATGCTTATCCACGCCCAAAGAGCCTCAATCGAGTGCATGAGGAAAGCACGTTCAGGAGAGGGTTTTTCGTGTTAGACAGAGAATCGCTCTTCGCTCTTTCTGACGGACGTATGCCACAGCTTACCTCTGGTGAGAAATTTTGCTTATATCAAAACAAGTAATCTTCCCCCACCCTCCCCAAGTTATGCAAACGTTACCACGTTATTCCGTCGCAGTATGACCTCATTTGGTGACAGAATAGCAAGACTTTTGAAGTCCGCTCGCTCCACTCTCCTTTTTTTTCAATCAAGCTGTGGCCCAACCCATAATAAATGGCAAAAAGCGAAAACAAAAACAAAACACCCTCCACATCTCCTCAAACTCCACTTCACTCACTCCTCAACTTCTCTCTCCTCCATCTCGCCCTCATTCCCCCTCTTCTTGAAGCGAAGAATGGATAGCGTGAAAGAAAGAAAGACAACACGAATTTGATGGACACCACGTGCCTAGTAAAAATGAAAGATCTGCGCGTCGGTTTGCCGGCAGGGTCCAGACCACGCCAGCACCTGCCGTTACCCGTCCGAGCAGTCGGTACGCCTGAATCCCGACTGGGGCAAACTGTACATGGGCTCCGGATGCTTATTTTTTGAAGGTTCACTGCATGCATGTAGGCTATGATATACAAAGATCTGGTCTCTCAGCGTCGTCGAAAGGCTGGCGAAACACCCGAGGCGCACGGTGGACATCGAGCAGAGGGTGCACCATCGCGTCGGGTTGGCTGTTTACGTACTGCGATTATTAATGCCGTCAATTGTTGGAGGGAATAAACATCTGCACACGTGAGCGTCTCAACTTCTTTGTTGAACTGCTTTTGAACATTGGAGGTCGGCTGTTAACCCCTCAGCAGGCTATGTCGCGGTTGTCAGCGACTATCCGCTCATTTACTCCTCGAAGAACATTGTGTGCGTTGCAAATCAACTTCGCGAAAGCAGCCGATCAAAATGGCGGCGAGCATTTTCACAGTCCTCTACCTGGACCTTCAAAAAGTAAGTTGATTGGTTCTAAAATTGTGTGGAATTGGTACAACCAGCGTCTTTTGTAAAATTCTTTGAAGTAAAACCACCTCCCCAATTTTACGTCACGCGAAAGGGATTTTCAGTGGTTTGCTGAGTTATGCTTTCTTGCGGCTGCAATATGATAGTGCATCACAAGGTTCACAATTATCTACTTATTTAGGATGCGCGAGCACTATGTCCCCACGCGATACGGACAAAGATTTTGAGGCAGTAATCAAAATTGTGTGGGTTCAGTATCGCTAGAGTATGGTATTGATGTAAACATTATATCTTTGCAGGCAGAGATTCCGAAAAGAACCACAAAATTGGCCTGTCGAAGAACAGCCGTTTGGAATAATCGAACGCACTTTTGTGGGTACAACGATGCATCCTGTAAGTCAATCATTGTTCTTTTTTCATCGCTCGTTACTCACTACGTAAGGTTTAGGTAGAGTTGCGTCCAGAAAGAGGCTTTGTCAACATGGTCCCTATCGGCTTCATGATGTTTCGCCATTTTTTCAGGAAACTGCGAGTAAGTCACGTAAATGATCATTCTCGTCATGGAGTTCTCTTTTTTTTTTCTTCTTTAGGCAAAGGGAAACTTTGAACTGTTCAAATCCACAGGTATATTTGATGAGGAGGAGGTACGGCAAGGAGCAAAACGTGTTTTTGAAGTAATCAGTCAGCATGCTACGAAGGTTGGTCTTTCAGTATTCCTGCAGCCTCCTTTTTTGACCATAATTTGTGTCGTAAGATCATCCAGGATTGTTTCTCATCCTAGCTTTACTGAGATTTTTTCTACCAGTACAATTTTCCAGGACAATATGAACGATTTGGTGAAGAACAATGTTTGCGGTCAGGAACTCATAGACCGATTCGAAGGGGCTAGCAGTAAGATGAGCCCAAAACAGCGAGAACTGCTTAATCTTACCGAAAAGGATATCTATGCCATAGCTCCAGGTGTCCTAGGCAAGTTTAACGCCACTTGAAGTTTGATGCTCTGCTTTAAGTTAGTGAATTAACAGCTTGGTTCCAGGACCTTTTCAGCTGATACGACCTGTATCACGTAGTGGATCGCCCTACATCAGCTACAGCCTGTTGTGTTGCGCATTCTATAAGAAGCAGATGCTTTTTAACGCAGTAAGTTTGCTTCTTTTAGTTTTCCATTCGTCAATTTGCTTTTTGACGCGACAATTATTGCATTTCTTATGTCCATACAATTAATTTTTATACCAAACTATCAAAGAATCTACTATTGAGTAGGTCGGCTCATGAATATGAGAGGGAGCTGGAGGGAATGCAAACTCTCATTTTCTGATTTGCATAGGTGGTGATATGATTGATACACTCTCAACAATTATCAAGATTTTCCGCATCTATTCGATGCTGCTGTCAGATTTTGGTTCCTGGACATCGTCAATAATAAGAATGGGCAGTGTTTGTAACTAATACCATACGAGTGCTAGTATGCCATACCCATGCAAATTCTTGCATTGCAGTCCGTAAAATCTGCGCTCAGTGTGATTTTGCTAAAAATCAATGGATTAATCGAAGATGTATGTGCCGAAGTCTTCGTTATGGTCTGTTCTTTTTCGCTAACCCAACAACGTATGCCGAAGATGTTATGTCAACGTCATTCTCGACCAATCTTCAAGTGTAATTGCGCATTCGCTGCTTTTCTTGGCTCTTCAATTTCGACACACACGATCTTGAAGTAACAATAGATATGTGATGATGATAATTGCTTTCTCATACACTTAGGGCTACATGCATCAACATCTCCACCGGTAGGGGATCGCAAAAGAAAGCTTCACATCATAAAGCTCCAGATAGCTGTTTTCACGCTAACTATTGTTCCGTAAGTGTTTATGCTATCCTTCGCCATAAACTATTGAACAGGAGCGAGAAGTTGTACAAGCCCATTTCCCAGCATTTTGTATGATTTTCTGATGATCCCCGACAGCCGACCGTTCTTCAAAGCCTTTTTTTTTTCGTAAACGTCAACTTTCGACTTATGGACGCATATTTCATTATTTTAGTACGTCATCTGCTCATATCACAAACATGCTTAGCACTGTTCGGTTAGATAACCAGTAAAACTGTGGCACGTTTTTGTTGTCTTGAAAGAAAAATGACTTTGAAGAAAAGACGGTCGGGATCACCAGGAGATCATATAAAAAGCTGGAAAATGCGGCTTGTGCGACTCTTCTCACTCCTGTTTATTAGTTTTTGGTGAAGGATAGTGGGGTTACTGTGAATAGACAGACAGCAGTAAAAACAAGTCCTCTCCACATATAATACATTTAAATAACTTTCAAAAATCCCCCTCCCCCCTCCCCTTCGGTACGCCACTGCTACGTGGTTATGCAAAGCATGCTTGATTCGATGTCTGTGGTTTATCTTCATTTTAAATAGCTTTTCTTTCAGGTACGTAATTTACCGCTAATGGAGGAAGGCGAGAAAGTTGAGTTTGTCTCTATACCACCTGACTACGGCTACGCTGCTCCTCGCTTGATTTTTGGATTTACTACGTTTGGTAATAGAATTATTGGCAGGGGCAAGGTTGAGCAAGATGTACAGCTTTTGGATTTCCAGTACTTAGTAATCTGATTTGTGTGGTGACTTTTTGGGCTTTCGTTTCCCCTCCTTCATAAGTTGTTTCTCCGAAATAAAATGCAGTGTTTTTAGCATGCCGGTAGATGTGATATTGATAGTCACTTTTATCTGTGACCGTCGTCTAGCTCAGTTTTGCAGTAAAGTGATGGGTGCTCTTTTTTCTTGTCTTCTTCGTGCGATCAGTTACTGAGCCTTCTTTTGAGAGATCAAGTAATGTTGTGTTTCAAGTTTCATATGTGGAGATATGCCTTTTATTCTAGCCGCTTTCTGCAACACATTTGATGTAATAAAGTTTGAACGTGATGTGGTTATCTATTTATATGCAAAGATGTTGTATTCACTTTACATCCTTTTATCCGATAGTGACAATGTCATCTGCTGAATTGCGTTTCAGCCGTGTAGGCCAAGTGGTAAACTTGGACTTATGGCTAATGTAGCTGTTCAGTGCTCACGATTACTGACTTCCTTGAACACTAGGAGGTCCACAATAATAGGTTAGTTCGTTAGCCTTTCTTGGAAATTGGCTCCTTTTCCATACGTTTCTAGTTTCTAAAAATTGATCTTAGTGACACAACAGTATTTTTGTTTGTACAATTTGGATGGTAGTGATGCATTTGCTCGAAATATTGCATCTTAGGTAGGGTAGACGGGAGGGAGAAGGCTAAGTGGAAGCCAAATTGCGGAGTGTGTTGGTTAGACACCGTTTTCCTTACCAGTTAGTCATTGATGAAACGCATTCATCGAGTTCGAATGCATTCGGTTTGGAAGTCTGTATAATGTGCTCATAAATGAAGATATTCATTTGGCATGAAGAAAGGCCATGTAAGCATGACAATGGAAGCTTGAGGGCATACAGCCTGTTGTCTGTTGCAGCATGATAGCTCCGTGTTGTATAATCATAACAATCTATGTTCTGTGTTCAGGATGTGCTCACCTTTCAGCTCAGAGCGCAGATGATGCAGAATTTGCTGACCTTTACAGTTTAGCTAAAGTATGGTGAGTTACTGCTTCTGGATCGACGACAAAAGCAAATAGCATTACTGTTGAGGAATAGAGCTCCTCTTCGGACACAAAATCGCTATCCTGCTGATCAGAAAGCCTTCTCTTTAACTCGTGATTCCACGGAGACGACAGACAAATACCAAAATGTGAGAGCCTTTTGGAGATCTTAATCAATTGCAATTGTTTCATACCTTCTATCTTTCAATCGTTCCTTTTTTTGCTTGTGTGCCTATTCCTCTACTTTTCCATACATTTTGGATGCTCGTGTTTTAGGACCTTTGCTTTAAAGATGAGAACAACTTGGTCTTGACAAAGTTCAAAGGTATGGATTTATGGACGAAAACGTTGGCATATCTTTATTGGTTGAAAGTGAGTTTATCTACAGTATAAAGTCCAAACAACCACTGAGCAGCGCAATCATCGTGGTTATCAAGCTATTCAGACAAAATTCGTCGTACTCGGTGCTACACCTACATTGCCTATGAGTGATGAAGATCTAGTTAGAGGCGGTCAAAAAGTCTTTCGAACAATTTTGGATGCTGTAGTAGGAGTAGGTTACTCGTATCTCCTTCAGATCGTTTCTTGTGAATTTGCAATTCAGAAGATCCATCTCTTTTTAGAGGAATGTTGAGTCTTTAGCCCCGCTCATGCTTCGCAGGTCAGCGTTAGATTTGCATAGGAAGATGGCTTGGAATTTAAAGGACAAGCAGAGAGATGCTCTCATGGTTTCATTTTCGAGTCTTATTGTTCTCTATCCGATTACACTATATTCTCATTGCTCTTATCAAATCTACCAAATCATCTTTTCAGGTTACTGATGCCGACTTTGTTGGGCATAATGGTTTTGTATACAACTGGGATGGATTTGGAACAGAAAAAGGCGAGTTGAGATATTTATGTGTTGGTTTTCACTTTCACTTCATTGGTTTATATGCTGTTTATGTAGTGATTTGGGAAAATTTATAATTGTTGCTGGTATAATTAGCAGGCTAGTGATAGCAATTAGCGATATCGATATAGTGTATAGAACTCTTCATAATTCCAGGTACATTAGCACGGATGATGCATTCTGCGTCGATTGTACCAAGAGATGCAACGGGAGAGATACTCGATCACCCACATTTTCGATATTCTATAGTCTTAGCAGCATTATTACGAAAGAATGAGTTATATAAAATGGTTAGTTTATTCATCATACTCTGAGCAAACTGTCACCTTTCCTACTTCACATTCTTAATGTGTATCAGGTACGACAATTACCATTCAACTTTGAAAAAGAGCGAATGATATTGCGTATGCCACCAAATTATGGTTTTGTAACTCCGCGCTATGTTGTCATGAAAATCGAAATGTGCCATCAGGTTGGTTTCAATGCTTGTCTGCAGATTGTACCCATGATAGTAACCATTTTGATAATACACTCTGTATGCAGTGTTGTAGTAAAAGCCTAGCTATCTCTATTGAATGATGCTTCTTTCAGGTGATTAACATACGACATCCTTATGCAATAGTACTGGGTGAAGACGGATTGATATACGACTTTCATATACATTCATTCTGAGAAGTGCCTAGCGCATTCAGTAGTTAAGAACGTAATCAGGATAGATCGATAAAGATTTCTAACTTCTTATTGTCGAATTGCATCCCCGATGGTCTCCAGCCCAGAAAACATTCCTTCTTTTTTTCATTCGTTTTTTTTTCTCAAGCAATTTGTTTACGCATGAATCAATCGAGGTTCTCATCTAATTCAGTCAATTGTAAAACCTGCATGATCGACGAATCAGACAGCTCTCAGCCACGAACCGACAACACTCCCTCGACTGCTACTCGTAGGGTTGAAATCCTGGGTTCCAGCGAGAATCCTATCGTCCTCGGTGAGTCTCCAGTGGAGTCGAGGACCACCACCGAGCACTCACGTGGTCGTGCTGGAGGCACAACGAGGCCAACATCGCGAAGGAAGTGCCCTCTCGGCGCATACGTTGAAGTGGGTTGAATCATTGGATTGATCATATTTGCCTTGAAATCTGTTATGTTTAGATTATTGACGAGTCGAGGCCCTCTCGTGTAGTTCCTAGTATTAGCAATCGAGTTTTGGTAAGTATCTATAATATAGTTTTTTTTTCTGTGAACTCAACAAGTAGGGTTGACATCACCATAGTGGCAATGGATTGATTGTATGTGTGATCTCGAAGATTTACCTCGCTTTTTTAGCCGAGTACAAATGCTGCTACGGTACCACCTATCAATCTGAGAGGAGAGCCGGTTAGCTATCTTATGAGATCCGGATTGTTGTTTATTCTCATTTCATTATCAGGTTGGAAGTACATCACTATCTGCACCGGTGACGCAGACTGTGCAAGATAATGGAAATGTATGAATTTTCTTTAAGAGTTCCTAGCAATCTGTCGGCAAGTTTGATATTTCAGGCCGCTACATCTGAAAGTGATCCGCCTCCAACTTCCGCTCAGGTAATTTTCTGTTTCCGAGGTTTCTGAATACTCCAAGTTTTTTTAGGTGGAAAGTGGTTTCCTGAAAGTGCCCAAGGACTTTGAAATCTTAATGAGATGCTCTATCTGCATGGAAATCTTTCATAACCCCGCCAAGTTAGTTTTTTTTTTATGTAAAAGCAGATCCAAAATCACATTTCAGTGTTGCTCCTTGCAATCATAAGTTTTGTTTGTCTTGTTTGTGGACGTGGAAAAGAGCCAACCAAATGGCCGTATGTCCCCAGGTAAGGTAGCTCTTGGGTTGTCGGATTGCAGTACACTTCATATCGGAAATTTGTTGTTTCAGTGTCGTGGTCCAATCCTGAGCTGGCAGAAAGATGCGCAGTTCAATGAAGTTGTTGAATCTTTCTTATCTGCAAATCCTAGTGAGATTTTGAGCACATATCATATCTGAACAACTAGGCTCTCAGTGTTGCTAATGTTAAATGTTGCTTTTATCAAGGCAAGCAGCGAAGTGCTAGCGAACTGGAAGCTCTTGATGCGATGCAGGCTGAGTGCTGGTCTGGAGCTGTCCGCGGTCGGGGTTCATCGCAGCCTCGCAGCCGTGCATCCAGAGACAGAACAATTCGTAGTCCATTCCTTATCCGCGTTAGTCAAATTCGAGCCCATCGCTCGCCGCTGTCGACTCGTCAAAGAGGCAACCGCAGAGGAATGGAATGGTCCGATCTTGGTTGAGCCGTTTTTGCATTTTTCTGTTCTGTAAAATATAATGTTTGTTTTTGGCGCTAAATCTATGTTTAACTTGGCCGAATCGTATTGGTATCTCATATTTGAAGCTCTCGTAACGCTGATAATGTCGGGTCAAATAAACTGCCCAAAAAAGTTCCAAGGCTGATTATATACTCAACACATTGGCCGCTGTCTACGTTGAGGAAGATGTGCTGTTTTTGTTTGTGGATGACGGCGAAGTTCTAGTGTCTCTAATTCTAAACAAGACAATCATCTGCATTTCGTCGATGCTATCCCAAATGGTAATCATGGCGCCGCACTTTTGGGACACGCGGTTACCAATGTGTTGCCTCTAGTTTCAGCTTTGCACTCGTCGCTTTAGATCTTTCCCAGCTGCATGTATGTATAACGTCTAGTATATTCTGGGGTAGAGATGAGCTCGTAGGTGCTCTAACTTCCCACTTTTGCACTGATCAAGAGTACGTCCTTTGCGTTATGATGTACCTGAATTTGATTCTCTCTATGTATCCAATCAAAACTGCCAATTGGACATTCCAAATTTTGCGAAGAATGCGTGAAAGCGTAGTTCGTGATCATCTGCTTCTGCTGCCCTTAACTCTTCTTTTTTCCTTGTCTCTTTTTTATTCTGATCCTAGGAGTGCAAATATTTCTATACTTATTTTTTTCATTTGTTCACTTATTTTACTCACGTCTGATGTATATTGCATGAATTAGTCGTAATCTTGGGCCATTGCCGAAACTGTACGATGTGTGAAATAAAGGATTGTATTCTTGCGCAGCCTTATATCATATCAAGTATTTGGTCAAATTCAACAATAACAGCGTGGAGGCAAAAAGTCGTCGACTAAGTGCAGAAAGGAAAAAAATTTCTCGAAGCGATAAATAACGCCTCAGAAGAAGAGCCCAAGGCCGCGCTGCATATTTTTTCTTTACGGCTAGACCACGCTTATTTGAAATTTTGACCCCAAAGAAGATTTGGCAACGAAGGCTTTGTATTAGCGAACTAGGAAAACTTTGAAAGGAAAAGAAGAACGTGTAAAAGAGGTCTGATCTTTTTCCTTAGCCACTGAAAAGAGGAATCAGTCTTGTACAGCCGAGTAGATTTTCCGCTTAACAAAGTGTGCTTGCACTGCAGGTTTCTGCGGTAAAATCTGCGCGTGAACAAACAGTAATGCCGGCATTTTGCGTGCACGATTCGCCGGCGTCACAGGCGTAGCAATTTGTTCACCGCAAATTTTAGCGCATCCTACCTCAATGCAAGCACACTATATTAAGCGGAAAATCTGCTCTATTGTATAGGCGCTAATCCAGAATACGCAACCCAAAAATGAAAAATCGCGGATTTCGCCAAAACTACGTGCATAGGGGTTAAAACCACAAAAACGATATTCATTTCGCATGATAGGACCCCTTTTTCGAGGGGTTGCGGTGGGCGTACGGCATGAGGTCGCAATCTCTGATCTTGCTGAAATTCTGCACGAAGAGGTTACTCAACATGTTGATTACGAATATCACACTTCAAACGCACTAGGACGTTTCCCTGTATGTTTACGGTAGGTGTACGGTAGGGGGTCAAAATTCTAGATTTGCCTGGAATCTGCTCTAGAGTGGTTGTTCGACATGCTAATCACAATTATCGTAGTTTTCTTGAGTGTGGGACTTTTTCACAGAGTTACGGTAGGTATATGGCAATGAAAATCGTAGTGCATGAAACTTTGTGCAGGGGGTTATCTGACATGCTGATCTCGAACATCGAGCTCATTTCGCATGGTAAAGCCTTTTCGTTGATTTTTGGGATCTAAATTGCCTTAAGGGGAGAATGGCGCTTATGTATACGCTGCAAATTACCATAATTCCTCAGTAAGGCGTTATTGAAGCGAGTAAGCGTGACATTCGTAATCAACGTAATCTTAATGCTTGAAACGCCTTTCCAAATTTAGCGCAACTTTGGGAATCTGACCGGACCAACGTAAACCCATGGTGACCCAAGTAAATGGCGCTACTTGCGAACTTGATATGATGCACATGTTCAGCGCGCTGAGTGCCCACTCTAGACCGGATCCAGCGAGATCTAGGATTTTGACCCCTTACCGTACACCCACCGTAATACAGGGAGACGTTTGAAGAAAAAGTGTGATATTCGTGATCAGCATGTTGAAAAACCCCTTTGTGCCGAGTTTTAGCAAGATCTGAGATTTTGGCCCCATACCTTATGCCTACCGTAACCCCTCAAAAAAGAGCCTACAGTCTGCCCCAATCCCAAACAGGCCAAAATTGGCATGGCGGGAGTCCGCGTCGCTAGGGTTTCGCGGTCACGCCCACGGCCTGCTTGTCTGCTCCCTCTTCGACCTCTTCGCTCTCTCCGCCAGCGCGCATATGCAGCGCAAACGCCTAGCGCTGCGAGCGCGCAAATCCACGCCGATGGTTCGGCCTGATCCCGATTGGGGCAGACTGTACCATGCGAAATGAAATCATTTTCGTACGAGCATGACAAATAACCCCCCCCCCCCATATAACTCCAACTACAAAGTTTTGACGAAATCCGAGGATTTTCATTTTTGGGTGCCTATTCTGGAATAGTATCGTTTATTCGTTGACCGTAACGACTGCTGACCGCGCGGCGACCGCTGCGCATGCATGATGTTTTCGTAGAAAAGATGAATAGGAAGAAAACAGAGGATTCTTCTCATCTTTATAATGTAGAAAAGAAACAAAGAATTCTTCTCATCTTAACCCACGGTCCAACTTGTCACTTTTTCGCAAGTTTAGAAGGCACGCTTCGCAGTCGCCACGCGGTCGGCAGTCCGTACGGTCGAATGAACGATACTCTCTTGGCGTCTGCTGTCTTTCCCATGCACAAACTATCGTCTGTCCCCCGATTTGTTCTCACAGGTACCGTGAACATGGCTGCCTTTTGATCGTATCAACATGTCAACTTCGAGTAAGCGCCTTGCATTTGCTGGAGTTAACATGTTAAAACGATCGAAAAGCGCCACGTTGATCATACCATGGGAACAATTCTGGAGGATCAACCATATATCACTCGGCCGCAAAGCGCTCAGTCTCTGCGTGCGTTAAATCGCCTGTATACTTCCCGAACTTCGGAAGATGTTTCGGTCCTCTTGAATAAACTAGGATAGCGCGCTAACAACGCTGTTACACGTGTATCTAAACGTACGTGTTAATGTCCATCCAAAAGTTAGCCAACTCCCAATTTTTGCATAGCAAACGACTACCAAGAGTATAGCGGGCGGAGCATTGCCAACGTTTGATAATGTGTACGCATGACGGATTCTATTAGCTAGAGGATACGAAAAGTAATGCTCTATAATGAGGACTCGACAGTTTTCAATGATCGCACAAATGTGTTTTTCTTCCGAGATAACGTTGCTAGAAGAATTGCGCATATTTATCTTTTGGGGTTTGCACTTAACTATATAAATAAATAGCACGGATACATAGAAAGTGGAACCAGTGCAGCCTATACGGGGGACGGAATTTTTTCACCCGAGCCTCTCGCGCCTAAGGCCTCGGGCATACCTCATGCGATTTCAGTCGCGACGCGATTTGGCAATAATCCAAATGTTCATTACTCTTCGTACGGGAATTCTCAATGTACGGAAGATGGAGCATTTTAACAACCTAAGTAAGTTACGCATGCTGTGCATTTGGGGTCTAACAGTATTGAATTTGAAGGCATCTGGCAAATTGCCAGATCGCGTGGCGACTGGAATCGCATGAGGTATGCCTCTTGCCTAAGTGATGTGCCTGCTAGGCACATCCGAGCCCACTATAATTACGAGCCCCTCAGGAGACCAAGATATCGCAAACCCCGTCCCCTTATTTGTGTAGCTTCAGATGCTGAAACCGGATTTTCAAAGATTTCAAAAACAAAGTTCAGAAGTGAATTTGGTCCAATCAAGACCAAATTTGGGTTTAAGGATTATCGAGGTTGCTCTTCTCCAGAGGTGCGATAGTGGGAGCCGATTCTCCCTCTACCTTCACTTTTCAGCTGGTACAAGGTGACCACCTTCACTTTTGAATTTGAATAAAAAATTTTTTCGCTGGACGATAAAGAAGGAAAATAAGCAAAACAAACGCAGAAAAGATTATTGAAGGCATATTTTTATGTATACGGCGGCATGTGTATTTAAAATAAACGTGTCTAGTAAATGGTGTGTTTTGAATTGAAACTCAGCGAGACTTTACAGCTTTTATTAAGTAAATCTTGTTTTAACGTACTGCGAAGGAAGTAGGTCGATCCAGGCAGTAACCACCGAGAACCAGAATTTTGAATAATAAAATAATGATAAATTATACGAGATTCCCACTTTTATAAATCTTGAGCTTGAAGATATCAGCAATTGCGACTTCATAGGTTTTGAAGAATAAATGGTGTTCTATAAGATAGTGAAGGAACCAAATCGATCTGAGAGACAGTCGCCGAAAACCAGAATTTTGAAAAAATATGCCATTTTAGCGTGTTTAATGACAGCTGACAGTTGAACTCATGTAAATCTTAAAAACGAAAGTGTTTGATGTTGAGACTTCATAGGTTTTCTAGAGTAAGGTTTGCCTTATCAGAATATATCTTAGCCGTACCGATCCATTGAAAAAGCGCCGAGATCAGCGTCCGGGCAAGGTCCATCTACCCAGATGAGCACATAGTTGTAAAGAGGGACCCATGAGTATCCGATATGCGTTGGTCCGATTCCCTGACGTGGCCTCTGAAAGGAGATACGGGCCTGTGATACGTATCGGGGGAGGAGAATTTTCATCACAAATTCTCCCCCCAGCCCACTTTAATTTTTTCCGATTTCTGATCACGAATATTGTGTTCATTTCGCATGATGTAGTCTTTACCAGATTTTTTTGTATCTAAATTAGTCCAAACAAAATGCTAACTGTTGTTGTGGTTGACGCAGATTGCAAGAAAATGGCGCATTTCTGAGTATTAATCATTACGATAATCATGTTCAGCGCGCCAAGGCCCCTCTCCCACAACAAATTTCGATTGAATCCGCGATTTTGACCCTCTACCGTCTACCCACGGTAGCCCCAGCAAATGGCGACTACTGCACAAAGTACCCATGACATTCGGCACCAGCGGTTTGAATAACTCTCTAGACCTGATCTGAGCGAGATTTACGACTTTGAAGTTTTAGGTCACGGCTGGCGC